CAGCAGTCTGGATGTACAGTCCCCTTCACTTGTGCGTTTACAGGAGCTCGTTAGGTTTTGTGCAGTGTGGCAGCCCTGTGTTTGTTTACACTCGACAGAAGGAAACTTGCAATAGTAAACATATTATGGAATCAAAGTACAACAATATTAAAAGAAGTATCTCAATGTAATGATTTGTGGAATGTGTATATAACGAGCCCCTGTAAACGCACTAGTGATGGGAACTGTACATACGTGTAGGTGTACAGGTAAATCCAAGTGTGTACATACATACATATTTGGGTGCACATAAATGTGTGAAATCAATTTTTTTTAATTTTGCAGCTAACAGCGGCTAATTTCTTGTGCACCCCGTACACATCCTGTGGGCGGTAGTGCAAAAAAGGATTACAGGGTAGAGACCACAAAGGGTGTTTATCAGACCCCAGTGGTCAGGATATTGTAGAGTTGAGTGTTAGAGTACTTCCAGTATATGTTTGTTTAGTTATTTATATAAGAGTTGACTTATTGACAACCTCATGAGGGACAAACTGCAGTGTGAGGCCGTATGTTTGGCCGCACACTTTGCGTTTAATGTTATATCTGCATGAGAGGCAGTGTGTGTGGGAGTACTGTACACGCGCCTGTGTATACGTCAGTGTGGGTGCACATACGTGTGTGGGTGCATTTAAGCTAGTATACATTGGATACTAACATATCATGATTAATTAATCGTGAAATTATAATGTTTGATTTATCTGGCTGACAGATATGTCGTGTTCCAAATTCTATATCTTATTACGTTTTTATTATTTCCACCTCATCTAACTTTTAATTTTATTTACCTAATCATGATAGACATCAATATTTTATGTTTTCTATGTAATTCTCCAGCATTTTAGCATTTTTTTTACTGTTATTATCCAGCTAACTCGTATTTATTTCTTTATTTACTTTAGGCTGTGTAGAACGTTATGGGGCTATTTTTAATATATATATATATATATATGCAAGTAAATCACTGTAGGTGCGCGTGATCCAGGTATATGCTGATAACATCAAGGAAAGAAGAAAACTTCGTGTTTTCTTCTTTCCTTGGGGTTATCAGCATATGTATATATATATATATATATATATATATATATATATATATATATATATATATATATATATATATATATATATATATATATATATATATTATATATTTATTTATTTATGTATTTATTTTATATTTTTTATTGTTTTTTTTTCGTTATGTTCCTATCGCTTTTTTATTATTGCTGTTATATATGTTTTCATTATATATTTATTATTTCTATTTATAAGGAATAATATTTGTTGTGACGTGGGAGAAAAACTTAGTGATATCAACTGACGCCTTTGAGAGTCGATGGTATCTCGTCGCCTCACGAGCGTTGAACCGAGCCATTTCCTGAACGTTTATGATGTGAAAGAGAAACAGACAATTAAACAGATTAGTAGATATGTAGACAGATAAACAGATGAGTAGTGTTACGAACCCCTCCACCCAGCACCACGAGCAACGCCATCTAGGGACGAGACACGAGTATGACTCGTCTTAGTTACCACTCCGGGGTTTCTCTTCTCCATATCCTGGTTGTTGCGTCACCTCCTCAAAGTCTTCTTTGTCAGCTCCAATTCGAGGAGACAACACTTGGCTCTGGGAAGTGACCACAGGATCATCTATCCTCTAAACCTACGTGCAGTGACTACCTACCGTCTTCTACAATACTCAGCCTTACTCGTCAGCCATCTCAGCTCCTCACTTAAGTACTTGTATTTTGTATTAACTCCCCCACGTCCACTTGCTTCAAGATTGTTTATGTTGTATTAATATGTATATACTGTTAATGTTTAGGTTAAGTTTGGTTAAGGGTAATTTATAAGCTGAATATTTTGTTAAGGGATTTATGGTACTCTATTATACACAACGAAAACTCGCATCCTTTGTCTACCCTTTTATAGTCCGATGGTCTTTGTTTTTTTTTATTGTTGTTACCTGTTGGGATCTGGGTAGACGTATAACTATATTCTAAATCCCCAACTCGTAACAGTAGATATACAGAAAAATACACACACACACACACACACATAAGTAGATACAGTATGTAGACATATAGATAAGTAGATAGACAGATGAGTTTATATGTAGACAGGTAGACAGACAGTGACTAGGTATATAAACAGACACAGGCATTTAATTTAGGATTATAGATGTCTCGTAAACAATAATTAAGTGTAATTTAGATTAGTAAAGGATTTCATTTTAAAGAAAACAGTAAGAAGTCAATGCCAAATTTGTACAGGACGCCATCGACAGAGGTGTGTGCCAGTGACCATTGATGACTTGCAACAACTTTCTTAATGTCGTCGGCTCCACCCAAAAAATGGCTTAGGTGGGAAAAACGAGTAAATTACGAAGAAGACATTCTATAACCTGACCACCAGCTTCACCGACCACCTTGTTGACTGAAACCCGTCGCAGCCGCATAGTCAAAGCTGAATCAAAATACATCGGTCGGGAAAAAATCTAAGCTTGATTCAAGAACCGACCAAAAGGGCAGATACAGTACTGCCTGTTGGTCCCTACTACCGATAACACGTGGGGGATCACTGACACAGCCTTCAAGACCCCAGCCTCGGCTCCATCATTCTTGTTGCTTTATATTCTTCGTCACAGGCCGAGCGGTCGGTATTTCTCTGTTACACACTGTTGGCAAGTACTGAGCATGTACTGGCTCCAGAATGTATCTGTACCTGCGCCAGTGTTGGTCAAGTCTGGTCCTCGGCCAGCTCACACTCGGTGCCGTCGCAACACTCACTCCGAAAAAGTTTGCCCTGGCAATTCTCTTAATTTGTGACTTCTTTAACCTGAGGCTGTGACCCCTTGTGGGCCGGGCATCCGCCAGCTCCAGGTATGAACACTCGACTGAGTAATGTTGTATGAGGTATTTATAGACTTCTATTAAGTTACCCCTTGACCGCCTATAGTAAATGCTGGGGAACTGACTGGTGGCGTTCTAATCTCTCTAGGTAACACAGGTGCCGCATATATATAGTGCAGGCACCAGTCTGGTGGCCCTCCTTTGGACATTTTCAATCAACTGACAGTCCCTAGCATATCTTGGGGAAGCACCTCACTCTTGAAGAACGCACGTGAGCGCCCCTTTTATAAGACCTACTAGCGTATTTGTTTGATTCTCCTTCTTCTCACAATGGTTCGAAAATTCAGTTCATTGTTAACATACACACACACAGGTCCTTTTCACATTTGGGTCTCAGTTAAAGATTTGTCCTCGTCACGTTGAGTCATGGGATACTCCTCCTTACTATTGGTACGACCGAGATGCACCCATGAGCATTTCGGCTTTCATTATCATTACCAATAAAACGTTTATAGTGTGTGTGTGTGTGTGTGTGTGTGTGTGCAAAGGAAATGTTGTGTCTATGAATGTGTTGGTGGTACAGCTGTAACGAGTGTACTGTACCTCTTATTATTATGTCCTGGGTTGAATTCCCGGCCCCCGGCCCGTGACAGACCCACACCCCCACCCCACCCCACCCCCTGTTTTTTTCAGAAAATTCCAATATTTTTTCTTTAATGCAGTATTGTACTCAGGCGTTTTTGTGAAGTAAAAAGTAATTACTATTAACCTCAGAATATCTCCTAATATCAAGTGCACACGGCCTCAAAATGTCCATGATATTGGTCAGATTTAAAACATTTTCTTGGGGCTTACAGCGCCCCCAAAACTCCCCAGCTGGGTGAGTCCCCCGCTTTTGATATTCCTGGATCCGCCCCTGGATTTTCTCCGGGTACTCTCCGATTCCCTCTTATACTAACACAGGACAGTGAAGGTTCATAACATACTAACCGAGGACAGACTAAGTGCTCGAACGGTGATTAAAGTAAAAAGGTGAAACAATAAATAAATAAATACTTCAGTGTCATTCCATCTGAACACCCTGACACGACACTTAATATTCTTATTGGTTTTACCGGAATTATTTTAATTGTCTCATTTGTGGATATTAGTAGCAGGTAAACAGAGAGTAAGGAGGTTTTTCTTGTGTAAATGAATGAAACGGGTGATATGGGTTGCCCGTATCCCTGGTAATCTTGACACATATCGGTAATTATAGTGTTAGAACGACCCCGAAACCCACTGTTTCATTCATGGCCCTGACCCAATTTCTATACAGTAGGGTAAATATAGAAATGCTATGCTTAGAGAGAGAGAGAGAGAGAGAGAGAGAGAGAGATGGATAGAGGGGGGGGGGGCAGTACTGAGCTTCAAAATACTCCAAGACAAAACTATCAAGAACAATGGAGGGATCCTACACACACCACTGGCCTCCGTCCCTCGGTATGACCACCTCTGTTTGGGTGGCCATGGGGTATCTTGGAGATCTCAACATATTTAGTTGTAACAGAGATGTAAAGCAGACGGGGAAGACCTTCAACAATAATGCATGATAAAGTAGTGAGCATCAGGGGAGATAATATGCACTGTCGGGAATTTTGATATGTATGGTGTTGTCATTATAACGCCAACCGATGCTTAGAAGACTGACGATATTTAATAATAATGAAGTAACACCATGGACTAGTTCTCAAAGATTCAGACGATGTGTGTTTGTTGTAACTGAAGATAGACGATAATGAACAATGACTTAATATGGGACACAAAAATAACTTTAAATTTATGATGAGTATCTTAAATAGATACCTTCACTTAGCACAAGAAGCTGTTGTCTCATAACTGGGATGTGTAGTCCCAGCATCTGTTGAGAGCATTTGAGCTTACGTCTACAAGTACATTCTTACATCATCACTTAGGAGGATTATTCATCGTACGAAGCTTTGTGATTTTGGACACAGGTATTCCTGAAAATGCGTAATTAGTATTCTGACTCAATGCGCGTGCGCAGGTGTCCGTGGAGGCTGACGGTGGGTATATAAGCCCGCATCACAATTGTCACGTCTCACAACGCCATCCAACACTTGTGGGACAGGACACTCTGTGTTACTGTTTATTAATTGTTGTTAAGGTACAGTTCTAGTAATGGCCTCGACACAGGAAGGCAGTAGAACAGGTAAGGTCAATTACAGTGTTATCTGCGCCTCACATTAGAACCTTTATGGAAACGATTTTAAGAGCTTCCTTGGGCTATCCAAAGTTGCCTTAATGTTCACCATTGCTTGTATACCTGCACCGTTTGTATACTGTACTGTATAGAATGAACCAGTGTGGATTTGTATAACGATTTTAATCTACTCGACATTCTGAGGCGCTGTACTAGCACACATCAGTCCATCCTTAATGACTTTTGTCCAATTATAAAACATCAGAATATATTATATACAAAAGCCTCTTGATAAATATAAACACAGGGAGTACAAGCCGTGACAACACTCCCTTATCCCCTTTATAACTATAAGGGATTTACACGTTATACTAACGAGGTACAAAATCAAGTGAAGTATACAGTATAGGTACAATTTTCCCCCCTATAATGAGTGTTCAGTACTCCAAAAAACATAAATGAGTGAGCACTATCATCCGGAACAATCACTCTGACTAAACCTTGTCGTTATAACATTATCACTGCGCTTCATCAACTAAGGTCCTTAACCCCTCGTGTACGCGGGTCTCTGTGCTGAATAAAACAGTCTGGTGTCAGTCAGATAAAATACTAAAAGTGACGATCCATAGTAAAGATGAGAACGATGAGATAAAACTATTGACTAAACTAACTTTTAATTTCGAATTGGCTGTTTTTTTTGTGTGTTTTTGTATCAAATACGTTACTGTACCAGGTTTTACAGTGACTTGCTTTACCCATATCGAATATTAGGTTTTTAAAATATCGTAATGTGTGTATTGTTGTGACGGTATTGTAAATGGGTCGTTCACAGTGGTTCGATACATAGTTTTCAATCGGTACTGGAAAAAGAAGTGGTTTAGTTAGTGTGTTGGTGGTACAGTGGTAAAGTGCGTATCCCACACAACTTTATCACCGGTATGAGTTTCGCTTGACCTCGACACACGTGAGAACGATGTTATGACCCTCACTACCAAACACCACAAGTTTCCCAGTCCCGGTTTTCTCTAGTACTAACACTGGATAGACCAACCGCCCGAACGGCTAGTAAACTGATAAGTGGTGAATATTAGAAAAAAAAAGCTAGAAAGATGTGGCAAGATTTAGTTAACCTAACCTGACCAGACCTAACCTACTGGAACTATGAATATTGATCGTGTTGGATGATATAAGATAACGGTACACTGCTTCAGCTAGTCAGTGTAGGGGTAGATGAAGAGTGTAAAGACATACTAATACCATATTATACACATAATATATTCACCTGCTTTATCATACACCTGCCTCATTATATTCATCTGTCCCATCATAAACTACTCCATTATACACCTGCTCCATCGTACACCTGTTCCATCATACGCCTGCTTCATCATACACCTGCCTCATTATATACCTGTCCCATCATAAATCTGCCCCATCATACACCTGAACACATCATACGCCTGCTTCATCATACGCCTGCTTCATTATATACCTGTCCCATCATAAACTACTCCATTATACACCTGCTCCATCGTACACCTGTTCCACCATACGCCTGCTTCATCATACACCTGCTTCATCATAGCACCTGCCTCATCATACGCCTGCGTCATCATACACCTGCCTCATCATTCACCTGTTCCATCATAGACCTGCCTCATCATACACCTGCCTCATCATACACCTGCCTCATCATACACCTGCCTCATCATACACCTGCCTCATCATACACCTGTTCCACCATACACCTGCTTCATCATCACTGCTTCATCATACACGTGCTTTATACGAATAGGATATAAGTTAAGTTATACACCTGCCTCATCATACACCTGTTCCATCATAGACCTGCTTCATCAAACACCTGCTTCATCATACACCTGCTTCATCATACACCTGTTTCATCATACACTTCATCATACATAGGTTATGGTAAAGAACCTGATCTTCATGAGACTACCAAAACAAAACAACTCTTTATTCTAAAAAACAAAAACAAAAAACACGTCCGGCGCACCAACAGAAATCCGCGAGTCGCTGGTAACTGGTAGTTATATCCGGAATAGCATCTTGTTCCAGGAACTTCCAGATTTCAACTTTTGTTCACAACTTAAAAGTTATTCACATATCACTGCATTCTCCATATTAATTTAGTCTGATCTATGGCAACGATCACCCATATATCTTGTATTTTGTTTCTCTTTGGAAATTACATTTTTTAATAGCGTCTCTGCCTGCAGTATACTGTACACCTAACATGGCGCACACTCTTGCTTGCCCCAGTTTATTACAGGTTAATTTACTTCATCGGATAAAAGTAAATTAACCAGTAACGAAGAGAGGTAAAGTTTATCTTTTTCGTCACTGATCGGCCGTTAGCCACTTTTGTGGCCGGCCACGCTCTGTTACGCACTGTTGGCATGTATTGTACTATACTGGCTCCAGAATGTAACTATCTGAGCCAGTGTTGCTCAAGTTTGGTTTTGAATGAGCTCGCATGTATTGTACTATACTGGCTCCAGAATGTAACTATCTGAGCCAGTGTTGCTCAAGTTTGGTTTTGAATGAGCTCACACTCGGTGCCATTACAACACTTAGGCAGATTGTTTCAAGAGTTCACAACCTTAAGCTGTGACCCCTAGTGGGTTGGACAAAGCCTTTATATTAGTCTCCCTAACCATACATCAAGAAATTAGCTTTCACTTGCTTTCTCGGGCTATTCTCGGTTGAATCGACTTACATTTTTATCATTGTTTGTATAACTGATCATCCATGTTGACGGCCAGCAAACAAACAACCGAACGAACGAGCCTGCACTGTCAATGTACTGTACGTAGTACAGTCAGGGTCAAAAGTTCGTATGAAGCAGTGAGACTGTGTCACGGGGATGAGTCTCCGAACTTACATTCCCTGACTGTCGTCTGGTGCAGGCGTGCTATTTTATCTCATTCGGGGTCGATGCTGCTTCACACGAACTTTTTACCCCGACTGTACAATGTATAATGCACTTCAGTAGCTAAAACAACTATCTGTGCATACTTTGTGGGAAACAATATGAGACAAGGGACGATAAATTTTGGTATATGAGGGCTGTCACTAGTCACGTAAAATTTCAGAGCATATCGACCCCCACCTGCACAGATAGTTGTTTTAGTTACTACATGCAATCTGCATTACTACACTTTACGTTTACTTTATCCTCTTCACCACTGATCGGCCTGTTAGCCGGTAGGCTGGTTGGTCACGTCTCTGTTAGTGCTACGCATTGTGGCAAGCACTGGGCAATATACTGGCTCCAGTGTGTATCTGTACCTACGCCAGTGCAGGTCAAGTCTGGTCTTGAATGAGCTCACTCTTGGTGCCGTTACAACAAACTCGGGTACATTGTTCCGAAATTATTGATTGCAAGTATACTTGCACTGTCTACATACACGATAAACCAATGTAAACCTGTATGACGTTTTATTGGAGATCTATCCAATGTACTTTCCAGTAACACCAAATTCACCTCTTCAGTGAATAAAAAAAAATAACATTAAGCTCCAACAATTTTAACTATCAGTCAAACATTTCAAATCTTATTTCTTTACATAGATAAACAATATTTTACATTAAGAAAGGCACACGAGGGCCTGCTAAGGTGCCACAAATCATATATTTTTTTTTAGTATTTTGTATACCTAGCAAATAGATCAGACTGTGGTTGTGAATGATGGTTGGAATGTAAAAAGTGTTTGTGAAATATGGTTATGGATGTAAATAACAGGAATGTTGTATATAAGTAAGAGGTGTGAGGTCCTTTTAAGTCGAGATTTGACCAGCACTGACATAAGTTCAGGCACGTTGAAGAGCCCATACATAGTCTAGTACTTGTCAACAGTGTATAACAGAGACCTAACAGGCCTGTAGGTAAGCTGACAAGTGGCGAAGAGGATAAAGTAAGTACAAGTAATGGCGATGGTTTCATCTGATTTGTCTGATGGCCATCCCAACTAGACGTAATGTGCCGAGGGAATGAGGCCTGTGGCCTGTATAGGATCCCTTGATTGTTCTCGATGCTCTTGTTAATATAAAGAATAATTTAAAGCGCCGATACTGTTCATCCTCTCACAGTTTGAGCTGGTGAACTGTTCAATAGGTTTACCATCCTCTGTGTGAAGAAGTATTTCCTTATATTCGTCCTGCATGACAACTTGTCTGTGAGGTTGTTATTTATGGTTATGCCACGTCTTGGTGAAAGATGAGACTGGATGGGTCAAGCAGGTGTTTTGGTTAAAGTTAATACTCATAATTGAGGTTGACTTGTGGTTTTGAACTTTGAGGGTTAGGATTATTACTAATAATTGTACAATAATTATATTTGATGATTGTGGTGATAATTAAGGATTTATTTTTATTTAGGCAAAGACTTTGTTATATTTTTTATGGAATCCTGGGAAAGAGTGAGAGACAGCCAATGTGTTATACAGGTACTTTTACTTTTATCCTCTTCGCCACTGATCGGCTCGTTAGCTGCTTGGGCGGTCGGTCTGTCTCTGTTACGCACTGTTTGCAAGTACTGGACATGCACTGGCTCCTGAATGTATCTGAACTTGTACAATTAAATGTGGACTATCTGCAGTTCTTCATAACCGAACATTTGTAGGTAGTAAGTACAGTAATGTACCTGTAATGGGTAGTTTACCTATGAAACATCCATCTACATTGATTGGTTCCATTTAAACCAGCTTCAGTAATTTCTTCCTTATTCAGACTTCCCTTAACCGAGTCTCAAATAACTGAACTGAAATTTTTAATCATTCTTATGTTTCCTCGTTTTGGTTTCATGTGAGAAGAGCCTGTCCTCTACACTCAAGTGAATTTTCTTGTGGTTTGATGGTCACCTGTGGCACAGGAGCTCTTGCCTTGGCACTGGTTGGCATGGTCTGATTGCTTCCTCTCTCTCTGCTCCACGTGTCTCCAGTTTTGATACAAATTTGAGTTAAGTTGGGATTTTCCCCTTTTATTTTGTGTTTTTTACATGAAATAAATAGTGAGCTGTGCCTTACGGCCTCTTTCACACAACATTTTCTTGTTATGCTTCATGTGTCACTCGACTAAGAATCAATGGAAATCAATGGATGTTCATGTAAAAGGTCTCATTGAACTCCATTGAATTCGGAGTCTTCTGGGAGGAAAAAGGAGAAAAATTACCAAGATACTGTGGGGTATGAGTTTTCTTGGTTCAAGACTCAAAAATCACGATGTGCTCTCTGTATACATATTACTCAGGATGGGATGGAGAAAGGAAACTCACAATGTGCTCTCTGTATACATGTTGTATTGGATGTACAATGCAGCTTGGTGCTGGGAAGGCAGCATGGTTACAGGCGTGATGTAGAGAGAGCTGGTTGGTGAGGGTGCTCAGAGGACAGCTTGTGGGTCGCCATGCTCGCCGGCGGGAGCGAGGGCCGCCAGGCAGCGGCGGAGGAGGTGGTGTAGCTTGCTGTTGCGGCTGTAGCTAGAAGAAGAGAGTTGGTTGGTGAGGATGCTCAGAGGAGGACAGCTTGTGGGTCGTCATGCTCGCCGGCGGGAGCGAGGACCGCCAGGCAGGCGGAGGAGGTGGTGTTGCTGGCTGGTTGGTGTAGGTAGAAAGAGAGAGGTCACCACGAGGTCAGGTCTCTTATAGCGGAGGTAGGCGTGGGTAGATAGTTGACCCCCGCTCCGTGGGCGGCGCTGGTTGACCTAGACCACGAGGCATACACTGTGGAATTCGCGGGGTCGGCTACTCAGCGACAAACAGCGTTTGTAGGGGAGAAATCCACTACAATTCTCCCTCCTTCCCTCCAGGCGGTGTAGGAGACTTGTTGTCTGCAGGGGTGCATGGCACATGTGAGGCAGAACGGGCGGTGCATGCCACATGTGAGCCATAACGGCGATGGCGTGGATGAGCCGGCCGCTAGAGGAGACAACTGTCTAGATACACAATATCTGTGGGAGTAGAGAGGGAGAAAAAGGGTGTGTGGTGGCGATGAATGTTGTGCTTCCCTCACGGCAGGTACAGAGTCGTCAGATGCGCCTGCTGGGGTGTGTGGGCCTGGGTCAGGAGCAGGGGCTGCGTCAGCAGAAGCGGATGAGGGCTCGTGACAGCAGCTGGGTCCACGACAGCAGCAGGGTGCAGGACATTAGCAGGGAGTACCTGAGGGAGAAAAGAGGAGTGTGTGGGTCCGCACTCAGGCGCATGGGCCGCGTCGGGAGCAGGGGCTGCATCAGGAGCGGCAGGGGGTACTGCTGGGCCGGGGTCGGCGTCTGAGGCAGGACGGGTGTGCTGGGGTCTGTAGGACGTGGTGCTTGGGGCAGGAAGAGGAGCTGGTGTCTGCTTAGAGAAGTAGTGCTGCTCTAGGGTGTCTAACCTGCGGTGTAGAGACAGTAGCTGTAGAGCCGATGAGAGCTGCTTCTGGGTGGATAAGCCAGTCTTCCATGTTGCTTGAAGACTGGGAGCGTGATCTGTTTCTCCTCCATCCTGTGTGAGTGCGAATCTCTGGGGGTCACCATTTGTGGGGTGTGGGATATTTGTGTTCACATTCAGGATGGGATGGAGAAAGGAAACTCACAATGTGCTCTCATGTATACATGTTGTATTGGATGTACAATGCAGCTTGGTGCTGGGACGGCAGCCTGGTTACAAGCGTGATGTAGAGAGAGCTGGTTGGTGAGGGTGCTCAGAGGAGGACAGCTTGTGGGTCGCCATGCTCGCCGGCGGGAGCGAGGGCCGCCAGGCAGCGGCGGAGGAGGTGATGTAGCTTGCTGCGGCTGTAGCTAGAAGAAGAGAGTTGGTTGGTGAGAATGCTCAGAGGAGGACAGCTCGTGGGTCGCCATGCTCGCCGGCGGGAGCGAGGACCGCCAGGCAGGCGGAGGAGGAGGAGGTGTTGCTGGCTGGTTGGTGTAGGTAGAAAGAGAGCGGTCACCACGAGGTCAGGTCTTTTATAGAGGAGGTAGGCGTGGGTAGATAGTTTGCCCCCGCTCTGTGGGTGGCGCTGGTTGACCTAGACCACGAGGCATACACTGTGGAATTAGCGGGGTCGGCTACTCAGCGACAAACAGCGTTTGTAGGGGAGAAATCCACTACAATACAATAGTAGGAAAAGCTTAAGATATAAAATACTTTTATTTTTTATTCTTATCCTCTTCGCCAATGATCAGCTCGTTAGCCACTTGGGTGGTCAGTCACGTCTGTGTTAAGCACTGCTGGCAAGTACTGGCTCCTGGCTGTATCTGAACCTGCTCGAGTATTGGTCAAATCTGGTGATGAAAGAGCTCACACTCGGTGCCATCACAACTCTCTCTGGCAGATTGTTCCACTAGTTCACAATTCTCACTCTGAAAAAGTTTGCCCTCAGTTTTCTGGACTTGTGGCTTCTTCAACCTAGAACTGTGACTCCTTGTGGGGTGGGCGTCTGCCAGCTCCAGGTATGTAAAATTTACTGAGTAGAGCCCTCTGAAATGTTTATGCACTTCAATTAGGTCACCCCTTGCCTGTCTGTAGTATAAGCTTGGCAGTTGCAGGCCTTCTAATCTCTCTGGGTAGCTGAGGTGCTGTAGTGCAAGCACCAGTCTAGTGGCCCTCCTTTGAACATTTTCAATCAAGTGACAGTCTCTCGCATATCTTGGGGATAAACTGATGGTGTACCTGTGAGTGGATTAACTACAATACCCAAAGCTTTTTAAAGGTTTGTAACTAATGGATCACTACAGCCTCTAGTGATGAGTATAACCCTAGGGGAAGGGGTGAAGAGTTAGGGGGAGGTGGTATTGATAGACTGTAATGAATGTGTCTTTCGTGATGACAGAGGCAACTGAGAGCCGTATCAAGGTGTAGGTAGTGTGAGGAGGTCTACTGGGACACTTGACACACTTAGTCTCAAAATTGGCACGCAATTAAAAAAATTGGTTGTTCTTATATGAGGGACGTTGCAGTTGCACTAGTGGCCTCAACTGAAGGACAATACAGTTTGAGGGTTAATTTACAGACCTGAGACAAACTCATGAAATGGAAAGCCATTCAAGTGAGATAATGTGGTTGGTGATGAGAATTCTAAAAGGAAATATTGTATGATTCTTCCACATTTGCATGGACAGTCATAATTTTGGAAGAATCCTTGGGAGCTGAAACTTAATTGAAAATAAAGCATATAGATGGTCCACATTTGGCTTCAATGAATTTCATGAACCAACTAATTTCTGCAAGATCAAACAAGATAAACACTGAATAACTTATTACAGTACAGTATATGTGATGTTGGACCTAAGCCCATTTATGAGTATAGTGACATAAATGTCTTCCTTGCAGGTATGGCGTGGCTGGTGGTGGCAGTAGTGCTATCAGTAATGGTCAACCTTGTGCACAGTGATGCAGGACACTTCTTTGCTGAAACACCTAAACACTTGCCCAGGATTGGTCGCCGTGGAGACCTGCCTCCTCTGGTAAGTACTGTATAATTTTGGTTTTTATATTCTTAGGTTTTGACCATTGACAACTATATCTATTGTTACAGATAAATTAATTACTAGCTTATCAGTATTATTAAAGTACACTGTAAACCTTATCCATTGCAGGCAATGAACTGTAAATTTAGGGTGTTCTTGATTACCTCAGTATTGTGACCCTGCCTTGTCAACTGATCCCACCCTGTGGGTTGGCATTAGGAAGGGCATCCAGCCATAAAATTTGGCTTCAACATGCCTGATGGTAACCAGGTCACCAGAGCTGTGCTCATCCCCTGGTCTCTGCTGCATTTTCTGGGCTGGCACCCTGGGTTTGCAGTGGTGAGTGGTGGGAACATCCTGTTCTGGTTTTGCCAACAACTGCCATTATGTAATTGTGGCTAACCCACGAAAATGTGGAAAATGGCTACAAAACATTAATAATGAAAATTCTAAGACTATAAAATTCTAACACATTCTTAAATATAATTTTTGGGATGTCACCCCAGAGCACCCTACTGACAGAGGACGTACGGAGCTCAGGAAAACCTGCACGAGGCATGACCGACGCTTTAGCTCAGTTAGACAGTGATGGAGATGGCTGTATTGGAATAGCAGAGCTACTACGCATCCCAATAGTGAGGGTTGCTATCTTGCTTCAGAACCCTGCACTGATCACTCCTGATGCTACCACTGACACTGAAGGTTAGTAACCTCTGGAGGCATCAGCAAATGATCCCTGGCAAAGTTTGTTTGACTGATTCTAAATGCATATATTTATACATTACACATACAGCATGACAAACAGGTAAGTAACTAAAAGAAAAAGAATCAGCATTTATCACTTTAAAATACTGTATGAATATTTTCCAAGTTATGATACTAATACAATACAGCATCTTATTTAATACTCACATTTACACATTTGTCTGTTCTTTGTCTACTTTTTAGAAAGGTACCAAGATTCACAACAGTGCTTATTTTAAATCTTAAACCCAATTTTACCCTTCAGAAAATGACACAGGAGAGGCATATACAACGGATCACCGGCCAGAGCCCCGCCTCCTACGTTACCTGCACAAGTGAGATTAGTGAACAGTGACAGACAGATGTGGCCAACAGTGATCAATGTGGTGAGTGGGAAGAAAATTAGAACGAAAGAAGTGAAAGTCAAAGTGGGGAAAAGTTCTATGAATTTCTAATTCCTCAATGACGGTATTAAAAATATCTGGAATAAATATATCATGCATACAACATACAGGCCATGAAGACCTCAGTGCCCCAAGTCTACTGTAAAAATAATACATTATATTTTTTTTATCAATGAGAAGTCCAAGATTTTAATCATCAGTACAGTAATTCATAACAGAAATAAAACTATTGTGAGCTGCTGTCAGTAATGGTAATTAAGCATTATTTTTTCTTCAAAATATCATGAAAGTTCAAAGTATACTAATGAATATGAATTATTTTGCAACGTTATGAAATCTATATATATTTTGATGACTTCTTATGCAACATTTTGATAGCATTTTAAGATAAGTTCTTAAAAAGTTTATTTTGTAAAATCGCCAATAATATTGGTGTTATATTTATTTATTTATATTCTTAACATCTACTTTATTTATTACCTTCAGACTACAGTATTTAATTTTTCAATATAACTAATATTTAATAATTTATGAGTCTGTATATTTTAAGATGTGTATTTACAAGTGGTCATGCTGTTGGCAGCTTACACTCTCCTTCTCACAAGCATGTCACTGTCATATCCACTTTAGGGACCATGAATTGTTTAAATAGTCAGTCAGAGATAAGTGGGATTCACATTGTAAATTGTTTTGTCTTATTCTCTCTAAAACTGTATAATGAGCATTTATTTATTACACATTATTTTATTTAGGTAGATTCTTGAATCCCCAAAATAAAAATAGTGCTCATGAAGAACACCAGCCTTAGTGGCTGACTATCAGCCTTATGCATCAAATCAAGACAATGATTAAACTTACTTTCATTATTTTTCTTTTTGGTGAAATTCTGACCAATCATGAAGTTAAAAATTTATATGATAGGTTATTTGATAGTTATTACTGACTACTTTTTTCAATCCTAATATGCTTTGTTTCTCAGGCACTAATACAGTGGTCCCTCGATTAACGAACGGTCCAATTAACAAAATTTCGGTTAACGAATTAGCTCCCATAAGGATTTTCAGTTCCATTAATGAACAAAACTTTGATTAACGAAAGCCTTACGAGAAACACACTTTGTTGTGCGCATCAGCTGATCGGCTAGTCCGCCAATACAATAATTGGTTCTATGTTAACATTCGTTTCCAGTGGAGTAAATATCAAGAAAGTTGTGCTCTTGAATATTTTTGCATTTTTTTATTAAAATTATTGGTCATTCCAATTTAGTTAACATATTGATAATATAGACAGTACAGGGAACAGTTTTTGTGTGCCAATCAGTTGATCGAATCACCCAACAACGCTTCTCAGCTGTTTACAGTGGAGTGAACATTATTGGTCATTCTGAAATTCAGTTCGCATATTGATAATACAGTATACAGTGCAGAAATTAATATGAAACATGAAGAAGGCTTTAGAACCAATGCACTCTGTAAAGAATATGGTATGTCATCATCGACTGCCTCTACAATCAGCTGTTTGATATGTAAACAAAGCTGCCAGGAATACAACGCACCTCAAAGTAAGTTAAAATACAGTATTCTATTATTTTTTATTATACAGTACAGTACAGTACAGTAATTAGTTTATATTTAATGTTTTGTTAATTCTATTACCAGTATACAGTACTTTGTATGTATACTTTTTCGTGAGTTGGAACCAATTACCCAATATCCCATTGAAATAATAGATTCAGTTAACGAAATTTTCAGTTTACGAACGACTCCATGGAATGAATTGCGTTCGTTAATCGAGGGACCACTGAATGTATATTTGAACCTGTAATGTACACAGATCAATCACTGTAAAAAATTTCACCTGTCAGTGCTGGGATACAAACCCTGGTACTCACAGGTGAAAACTGTTTACATGAAGTACAGTACACTATACTGAATTATATTTTGTTGTTACTGAATACAAACTGTGAAGTGAAATTTTCAGCAATGTTGATTTGTAAGTGAAGGTCTGATGCAGTTGGCATGTCTTAACAATGGTAAAAACTTTGCTACAACATCCATTTATACTGTACATGTATCTGTACTGTTTTAATATTCAGTAATTGAGTCCCACTTAAGATCTGAATTGATTTGGTGATGTGGTTGTTCTGTGAAGGTGATGAGAATTCATGCATATCCTCATAATGTTTAGTGAAGTTTATGAGAGTTCATGTACACCTGACAATGTTTAAGAAAGGTTATGAATATTGATGTTTGTCTTCAATGTTTAGTTATGGTAAGAAACATTCATATACATGTGACACTGTTTAGTGAAGGTGATGAGCATTCATGTACAGCTGACAATATTCAATGATGGTTATAAATATTTTTTTTATGTCTGGCACAATGTTTCATATACTGTAGTTTATGAACATGTATTTAAAACTGACAATGTTTAGTGAAAATTAATCATGTTCATATATGTCTGGCCTAATGTTTAGTGAAGGTTATGATTGAAGGTTATGAACATTCTTGTATATCTGACATAAATGTGTGGCGTACAAACCTGTTTGTCTTTTTAATGGCATAATTCTTTCCCGTTATTGAACATTACTATGTGTACATCTCGAGTTAAGTTCCATAAAACCAATCACAAAGATTTTTCTAGTTTATTTTTTAAATAAAACAATGAGTCATGTAAAAACCAGCCAATGTAGAAATTCAGAGGAAAATAATTAAATATTGTAAAACTTTGCTTCCTCTCTCATTTACCAACACTACTTGATCCTATTTCCAACACTCAACCAAACACATTTGATAATAATGTTGTTGCCCCAATGCCCCATTAAGGAATTCTTAACAATTTAGGATCTGAAACACAATTATTCAATCAAAATTATGAATGTGATGACTTTTTGTTGTGTACACATACAAGTATTCTCCTGTTGGACATACAGGCACTGATCTCCTCAGTTTTAACTCTCATCTGCTAGTGGGTGACCACCTCATCATTACAGGTGAAGAGATGTCATCACATGGATTATAAAATGACCCATAACTCTCAATCTCTATTTGTATAAAATTGTGAAAAACTTCAGTTCACAGAAGCATGAAATCTACATTAGATAAAACCACACAAAAGATTATGTTTGTGTTAGTTACGGTAACTCTTCATAACAAAATAATATTTAAACATACAGAAACTATGGATGACGCTAAACAACACAAACACATGTACAATATCTATTATCAAGCTTCAACAAAAACATTCTAATGCAACAAATATATAAAATATTTTAACACGCACAAACTTTATCTGGAACAGTGATTTAGTAACATTTTGTTTTACTTAAGTACAGTAGCTATTAGTACAGCCAGTAACCGATACAAAATTGTTTTTTGAACACTAGACTAATTCTGGAGCAGTAGCTATCCCAATGGGCTCTGTCACTACAGTCGTTAAACTTATTATGGCTTTTACAACAGAATGGAGTGAACCTGTAACTGTAGTTTTATTATCATCATTACAAAAAATATAGTTACCATGGGCCCACAACATGTTTCATATACTGTATTATATAAGCTTCCATTCTTAATTACATTTTATACAATAAGTAATTAATACAACCATTTACTATTGATACAAGTTGTCAGAAGTGAAAAACCATTAAAATATATATTTCTTATCAAAATGATTTCATTGAAAACTGTCAAGTTACTATTGAGGAATAATGTGTTTGATTAATATTGAGCATAAAAAAAGAAGAAAAAAGTTTGACATTAGTTGAGAATTATTCAAAATAACCTTCAGTATATCACTACACGATGTTTGACTGCATTCATAAATCAATTTAACAAATTTAATTTATAAAAAGTAAAAACAACATTCACATTTACTCTTTGAACAGAAACTGATACACTATCTTGTTGAACTCTTCTGGGCTCCTCAGGTGAATATTGTGCTTGCCTTCATCCATAATGACCAACCTGTCAAAAGGCATTAAAATGAGTGACATACTGGCAAAGAATATATGAATGTAGAAGAGAAAAGTTGTCTGTAAACATCAACACTTCTCTCTCTCTCTCTCTCTTTGTCCATCACTCCCTTCCTGTGTCCATCACTCCACCATGACCAGCTTCAGGGCCACCCTTCTATGTGCATTATAACACTAAGCTAGCCTCAGCACTGTACACTTGATACCAAGTTCAGGCTCCATACTGCACTGTCAAGCAGAAGCATCAGCCCGTGAAGTGCTCACCTGGTACCCTCTGTGCAAACAGTGTGCCAGTCCAGAATATGCAGCAGAGACCAGAGGATGGGCACAGCTCTGGGTAACAGAGCTGCCATGAAGTATGTCAACAGAAAGTTTTGTGGCTGGATGCCCTTCCTAATGCCAACACAGTAGGCAAGAACAGTTGGCTAAGCAGGGTTGTAACTCCCTGCCTATACTCTGACACATCACACACCATAATAGTACATACCATAAAGCATCTTCATAAACAGGTTATGAAAATTCACTAGGCTTCTCATAGTTCTGAATGACAAACTGTATAATGGCTAACAGACTCCCTTGTGTACCCATCACAATGAGTTGTGATCATGTATTTAACAACATGTATGTAAAACAGCATAAAAAAATCAAAGTTATTCTTAGCAAAGTGTAATCATATTGGGACACTAGTCATATAATACATACAGTGATTCCCCGACTTATGAACGTCCGAATTACGAATGCCCAACAATACGAACGGGGTTAAACTTGAAATTTACAGTATTTTATTTTCCTGATGACTTATTTTTTACATTGATTTACTGTATTTTGTCATTCTATTTTTTCTTTTGTCTTAAATTAAGTGATTTTAGATGTATATAAGGACTTAGGCTATGATCTAGTGGGATTTTAAACATTGTTCTGTAAGTATGGTATGCACATAGCATATGTTCTGATTTACGTAGAAATCTAACTTAAGAACATCCTCAGGAATGGAACCTGTTCATAACCCGGGGACCCCCTGTATACAGTTATAGACTGTATCAGTTGAGATAAAGGAAGTATGCCTTTAATGGTTTTCTTGAGCTAATTGTACTAGGCTGACTCAACATACTGTTGACTTTGGTTTCTATGCCTGCACTGTCTATGTACAATCGTGAGCAAGAGTCCTGTCGCCTCTTCTGCTGCTCCACGAACCCTGAGATTCAGGCTCGTAAACCCGAAGCAGTAGACACCGATGCATCATTGTTTTCATAAATGCTTCGAATTCACGAATCTGAATCTTGGGGTTCGTGGAGCAGCAGAAGAGGCAACAGGACTCTTGTTCACGGCAGTACATACTGAACCAATAAGATTTTATTACAATTTTACTGAATTAATATCAATTCTTGTGAGACAATTTATACTAGCAGCCAAATGCAGTATGACGTCCAGGAGGGTGAGTAAAATTTTTCTAATTGTCCTGTAATAAATAAATGATCAACAAACACTAGAAAAACAAGAAGAAAAAGGAAATGAAGAAGAAATAGAAAAAATGAAGAAAAGAGGCAGGGAAGATTAGTACCGGTACAATAATAATAGATGCCTTCAAACAAGATCATAGTACAGTATACAGGGTGTCTCATGGGGCCTCCACCACAGAGTAATTAATTGTCTCTTTCTGTTTCAGGTGAGAGAATCATGACAAATCAACAAAGATGGCATCGAAAACAAACACTAGAGGAATACAGTAGCCAGTTTAATAATCATGTAAAGTACAGAAATACAAATGCTACACACTGATCAGTTGCAAAAGAATTTAACCATCAACACCTGTGCATATGGATGCTGCCAATCAGATTCTCTACCATCTTAATTCATTTGTTACGATTCCCTCACATAACAAAAGTAAAAGAGAGAACACTGATTTTCGTATCGTGCACAACCTATCAAGACACCATGTACTGTACTATGAAGACACATCATACTTACTGTGAGCCCTTTATATTTTCGTGGAGGTACTGCCCATGACTGAGGGGAGCCACAGGATCCTTAGCGCCGTGGATAATGAGAGTCGAACAGGTGATCTTGGCCAGGTCACCTTTACAGATGTCACCGCCTTTCTCATGGTATATATGTAAAAGGGTATCTACCCATCCCTCCCACGCTTCCTTGAAATACTCTGTACCATAGATGGCCTCTAAGGGAGCACGCATTCGCTGTGACCATTTGTTGATATCACGGATCCCTGTGTAGAATTGAAACAAATTTAGTATTCAGTACTAGTAACAAATTCTCCTTACATTTTATAAAGTGCAGTGCACCATATGTTATTAATTACATCTCTTTAAGTCTAACAACTTTGTTATCAGTCAATTATTATCATTTCTTTTGTCAATCCTGTTTTCCACTAAAAAAAAGGAAAAAAAGATCAACACAAACCATGACTGACCTAAGAAGTGAAGATTATTATGTAAATTATGCATATCATGAAGATCTCCTATTGATATTAACTTTGGCACACCTATGGATCAGTGGAATTCAGAATACAGTACTATACTGTACAGTATATGGTTTCTTTGTGTTATTTATCTTTGCTTGGAAGAAATTAAGTACAAAATAAAATAAGAACCAGACGGCATATAGCCAACATAGGTCAAGACAGTATTCCTTCCCCAAGCTCTGGAAACTGTGTGTGAATACCTTCCAGTAATTTTGAAGATTTGTAAATGATTGCCCCATGTATCACACTGCACAATACAACAGAGATGTAATTTACCAGCAGAACAAATACCTGTAATGCTGATATTTTTTGCCACAGGAGATTCATGCCAGGTTCTCAAGCCTCATGTACAGTAATACAGTATCTCCGTTATCCAGAATCCCTCAAACCTGGAACTCTCCGATAGCCGGAATTGAAATTTACTCGGAAAATCGTTCCCAAAGCCATAATTTTCCAGAAAATTCTGGCTTTGGGAACAAGCTTCCGAGGGGCACACTTTTTGGAAAATTCAGTGAAAATTTTCGCATACCCAGAAAATTCCAGGGATTGGGAATTCTTTTCCGGCTTGGAGTGTCATATCGTTTCCCGGAAATCTTTCATTCATGGAAGTGCTCTGCACCAATTGCTCCGGCTAACGAAGATATGACTACTTGAACTGAATTTCACAATATTTTTTAGATTGGTATGTAACTCACGACTGTAAACAAATATCAAAACCTAATTAGATTTTTTTAAGCCAATAGGTTAATTATTTTTGTTTTATTCATTAGTAATAGGATAATGGTTTCAATATTTAATGTAATGTCAGTAAGCCTGAGATATTGCTTCATGAGAAAAAAAAGAAAAGCTTGAGGATGGTTATGGTTAAATATGATATTTAAATGAGTAATAACAATAAAAAGTCGATGGTAAAATTTGCAGTGCAGTAAACTCTTACAACGTTCCTCTGAGTGGCGCGACACTGATAGAACCATACACTGCACATGTGCGGGTCAGTTAATTTTTATGTATTTTCCTATCCTGAGTAATTCTTCTCAGACTTATCAAAAAGAAACAATTCTGTCATAAACATTGAATTTATTGACCAACAAGCCCACAACATACCGATGATCTATCATAAACATTCAACGGATTTGTTGACAACTTATCCAGTCGGCCGTCACATCTGTTATGTAAATGCACCCTAACACATATCCACATTTGAAACATCCGAAATCCTCCATTTAATCTCTATCCAATAGCAATTATCAATCCCAATCTTCCTTCTCTACTAATTATTATCAGATTATTTCTGTTCACCTTCAAAATTAATTTCTCCTAGTATAGTACTTTCTTCACTTTTCTAAACTTCTGTACGGTTTTAATATCTGCAGCTGTTTTCTAAATATTCTACCTACCTGAGCAGTGTCATTTGTAAACAACAGCTGATTTTCCTGCTACTTGCATTCTGTACAACAATTCTTAAGAGTGGTACAGCGATAAAGTGCATAACACTCACCAATATGTCAGGGATTCGAGCCTCGGCCCGGACACATGCGAGAAGGGTATTATCCAGTGTGACTCTCTCTACCAAACACCACAGGTTTCCCGGTCCCCGGTTTCCTCCTGTACCAACATGGGATAAACCACCCAAATGGCTAGTAAGCTGATAAGTGGCGAATATGATAAAAAAAAAAAAAAAAGTTTTTTTCTAAAAACCAGTTTTTGTGATATAGCTCGAATGCGACGCTCAGCAAATGCTACCTAGGTATGTTAATTCCTAGCCAATTCACCAGGCCAACATACAGGCAATTAAAACATCTAATAATTACTTAATAAGTAATATTAGGAGGACACGTCGCTACCTGACATTTACTTAACAAAGCTCTTTAAATTATACCAAATGAAATAAGTATGAGTAATCCATCTTACCTTCATATATCTTGACATCCTGGTCACTTACGTAAGCATTTGCACCCCACACTACTAATTTGTCAACGTGCTGGGGATACGCAGCTGCCAGAATCAAAGCAGAGATGCCACCGTCACTCCAGCCCAGCAAAGAATATTTGTCATATTTCAAGGTCTGAAAATTGCATCTGCACATACAATCAAATATATATGTAATCTGAAAGACATTTGTATTAGATACATATGCTGTATTTTTGACCACATTGAGACACGCAATGCCTAACTCCTGACCTGATAAATATTTTTTTTCTTGTAAGTGGGATAATTCCAAGTACAGGTTAGTGCATCAATATTTTATGCCCATTTCCACGAGTTAGTCGTCATTACCCAATGGCAGCTCTCCAAGCTGTGAGGCCTCTTGCAGCCTCTCTCATCAGGTTCTTAACTATGATGTCCTTTCTTACAATTTCTCCCCCTGTCATTCTTGGCATACCCTTGGATTACCTCCCCTCCAATTTTAGTCTTGTGTACCTCTTAACCCATTTGGTTTCCTCCATTCTATCCACATGCCCAAAATATCTCCATAATCTGAATACCCAGCCTGAGAAAGATTAAAGACATCAAAACAAAACAATAAAGTGTAACAGACAGGTAGAGGGACAATGTTGCTACACACAGGTGAGGGAGTGAACTTATGAGGTGCAATGATGGTCATCAGTACAGTTTGTTGGGAAGATTCTTATCAGTTCACATTCAGACATTCTAAATAGAAAATATCAATACAATTTCAAATTTAAATATATGTTGATAGTATAATTTTCATAGAGATGAACCTAAAAACTATATAACCCAATTATCTACTTACATAAGATAAATCAAGACTGTGAAACACAAATTTCTCAAGTCGTATATGTTTAACATAGCACACCAATAACACTAATACTGTACAGTGAACAGTAACGAACTTACCTTCATCAAAAGAGCAGCGATCGCAGCATCACGATGTAAAAAATCAAGGGAATATTGTCGAGGAGGCGGCCAGCTCTTGCCATAACCTGGTGGGTCCCAACACACTAACGTTAAGTTTTTCCCGGCCAAGGACTTCATCTGAGGACCAAAGTCCGACTGTATGGTGCCTGCAAGAAGAATACTGTATTCATTACTGCTCAAAATGAAGTCCTCTAAAATACAAATATAGGGACTGTATATTGTACCTTCATTTACAATACTGTAGCTAAATTACTATTGATTATGTACTGCATTGTGTATGGTACAGTACCTGTACAATAAAGCATTTTCATTTCTTATGTATTTACAAGACATACAGTACAGTAACTAGATTAGCAAATAGACTTTTCTTTGTAAACTTGTCTGCCTGAGCAATTGCAGATTTAATTAAGCAATGAATAAAATGTTTCATGATCTATTATAAAATTTCAGAAATAATTCTCAATGCGATTTTTCATACTACCGTATATATCATCAGGATATATATTGTACCAGACAAGTACAGTACTGAAGTTACAGTTCTGTACTTGTCTGGTACAACATATGGCTTTTCAACCTTTTGCAGGTCTGGCTCCAAAATTTTCTATATAAAATATTCTGTACACCTGGGATCTTTCCCATTTATAGTTCTCTTAAAACAAAATAAAATAAAATTGTGCTTTCTGATGGTAGCCAGAAAAGGAAGAGATTTTAGGTTTAATAATACAGGATAAGATTGGAAGCAATACACAATGAATGGGAGGCAGGAAGAAAGTTATTTTTTACTTTCATTTACTGTATTTTGTTGTTCTTTTTTTCCTTTCTCTTAAATTAAGTGATTTTAGATGTATATAAGGACTTAGGCTATGATAAAGTGGAAATACGGTATGAACATAGGGTATGTCATTTGCCCCTGTACATTTTCGACTTTAGAACGTCCTTGGGAAAGGAAATCATATGTAACCCAGGGACTGCCTTACTGTAGCGTGAAAATTATGTATGAGTGTTAATTATGGAATGTGTGCTTGATGATGCGAGTGTTTATTGGGCATTTTTAAAACACTGGATGAGTTGAGAAGACTACAACAACAACAATAATAATAATATACCTAACGCTCCAGGCATGCAGAGAGCAACCTTCTTGCCTCCACCGGCTACTTCATAGTTTAGAGGTAATCCTTCGACCATTGTTTGTCTCTGTGCACTGCAAAAACAAGATGAATTATAACAACAAAAATGCTTTCAGAAATTTTTATATATATACAGTACAGTATATATTATAACGTACATATAAAGCTTATGTGGAAATAAGGTCCATAGGTTAGGTTACGATAGGATCGAATATCATACAAAGGTTGGAATTGCAACTTTCTTACTTTTGTTGGTATTATTTCACTTGTTGCCACTAAACGAATCTCGAGAATTTTATAGTCGCAAACAGTAATTTTGACAATTCTAAGACACTTTTTTTTAATGGTGTTAATTACATATTAACAAGATTATAGGTAGTAAGCAGCTACCAAACAGAGAGGTACTGTCATGGTCACGTTGACTGCTAGTCTGTTTTAAACTAATGATTCTTATTAAACTCCACGACCGCAAAACATGAGAGGATAGCTGGTTAGCTATCCCCTAGAAGGAGCGTGTTTTTCCCATTCGTTTTACACTCGTGATCCCTCCCAGTAAGTCCCTCTTTCAAACACAGTTGTCAATACGTTGTTTATTCCACTTCTCCTGGGAAGCTCAATCTTGGATTAGTCTGTGTAAATCAACTCAAGTAATTCGCCAGACCTTTGTCAACTAAGGGTCATCCTTGAATCAGTAACAGTTGGTTTGTTGGTAATCTCTGTCATTGCGTGAGTAGCGATCGCTGGCAACTCAGGGTATATATACCACGGGTAAGGGAGAGAGAGCGTCCCCTGATTTCTGCTCTCCCGTTTGTCTCCAGGCATGTTCTGTGTCCCCGAGCCATTCAGTTTAATTCAGTCAATTGTAGTGAATATCAGTGTTCATGCTTCAACAGTTGAATTGTCATTCACCCAGTGTAAGAGTAATATAACGTAAATGTCGTCTGTCGTTTCCAGACAAGAGATTTGTTGTGACTGTGTTGTTCATGCTTCCGTCCCCTGACGTCTGCTCTCCCGTTTGTCTCCAGATCCAATTGTGGCTCTTGGATCACTCAACAACTGCCCAGGATTCAGTAGATACCCAGCAGGGATCAATATATGAAACGATGGTACCGATGCGGCCTGATTAATGTGCTCCACTGCCTCGTGGAGCCAGACCCCAGACTCGCCATGTGTCTGGCTACCACCGATCACCGCAACGGTCGTGAGCCCCAGTGTTCTACCCTGGGACGCTCCCTGGAAGTTAAATGTCCACAGAGTGTGTTGTAATATGTATGTTGGGGATAATTAGTTGGAAATAATTATCCCATGTTGGGTAGTGGACCCATGTATTTGCTGGTTTCAGTATTAACGTGTATGTTGTGAGTGCATCTCATATGCACTACCAACCGTCAGTAAGTGATGTAAAGTACCTTGTAATGTGTGAGAAGTAAAGTTGTCCACTTGGGACTAGGAGTAAAGTCTTGTAACTGTAATAAGATGTACCACTAGAAGATGTGGGTGAAGTAGAAGTACCCACTTGGAGTGGTAGTAAAGTAATCTACAAGGAGTTGCCATGTACTATGTATTGTGAGTAGGGCCAAGGAACCGGTCCTGCTAGGTAATGTAATGTAACACCAGTAAGGTTGTGTGCAGTAAGAGTGTAATATCTGAGTAATTGCTGTTGAGTAAAAATAAGAAAATACTAAGTCTGCAATAAGCCCAGGAGTTGAGCCTGGTAGTTATATGTTAATAATATCTCTTTTTTCCCTTTGATTCCATATTAATAAACCTGTTCTTAGAGTATTTTAGGAGTATTCATTTCTCCCACAGTAGTTACCTTTATTTCCGTCCAAGTGAATTGACACCAGAATTAACATATCCATGTGCCTAGACCCTCGTCCATGCTACCAAAAAGAACTGAGGTTATGTAGTAACCAGTGAACTGAAGTAAGTAAAAAGAACAAGAGAAGTAAGTAAGATAAGGGTGGTGTATGTGTTGAGAAACCCGCGCCCTTACAGTACTACCACCTGGGAAGATATTGGAAGCATAATGTGTTGTCTAATGGTAGACCCTCCTGCCTCATTTACACACAATTGCAGGGTTTCAATTGTTTCTCTTACTTTGACAACACAACATATATAATGTACAGCTGCTCCCCGACTTACGACAGGGTTAGGGCCGACATCCAGGTCATAAGTCGAAATGGTCGTAAGTCGGAAATGCTTAAATAACACATAGAAAATAAAAAATGGGGCTCTTTTTCTTCTCAGCACCACAAAATACTCACTTTTAAGCTTGCCAGCCATTTTAAAGTGAATTACAGATGGAAATTTTGTCTGTGTACTGACTTTGGGACTCGAAAATACGTAATTTGACCAAATTTTGGTACGACTGAGGCAAGTCGTAAGTGCGGGTGGACGTAAGTCGGCGAGTAGCTGTATATCGTTTCTCACTCGATTTATTTTTTTGTATTTATTTATGGTTATTATTATTATTATTATTATTTTTTATTTTTTTTTTATTTGTATTAATTTGCATTTAATTTTATTAATTGTTGTAATAATAACAATGATAGACATTATTATTATATTTTCGCCCCCCAGGCCCTGATGTGGGTCATTGACCTGTGCCCGGGTGGGCTAATCCCGGTAAAAAAAAAAAAGATTTAACATTATATTATGTATATTTGTACGTGGTAATACATACCAAGAACATCGAACAGCTGTGGAGCCCCTCGGTTAGGTTAGGTTATTACAGGAGGAAACTGGGGACTGGAAAACCTGTGGAGTTTGGTAGTGAGGATCACACTGGATAACACCCTTCTCACGTGTGTCTGGGCCGAGGCACGAGCCTGTGGAGTTTTGAGATATTGGTTCACACTCAGGATGGGTTGGAGAAAGGAAGCTCACAATGCACTCTGTACATATATTGTACTGGATGTACAATGCAGCTTGGTGTTGGGAAGTGGCAGCGTGGTTACAGGCGTGGAGTAGAGAGCACTGGTTGGTGAGGTGCGTGCTCAGAGGAGGTGTTGCTTGCTGCGGCTGTAGGTAGAAGAAGGGGCAGGTCACGGCCAGGTGAGGTCTTATATAGCGGAGGTAGGCGTGGCTTGATAGTTGACCCCCGCTCTGTTAGGCGGCGCTGGTTGCCGACCTTAGACGACGAGGTGTAGGCCGGGGAATTTGAAGAGGGGTCGGCTAGTCAGCGACAAACGGCAGTTGTAGTGGAGATATCCACTGCAAATCTTTGACGTATTGGTGAGAGTTATGTACGTTACTACTCGGAGGGGGGGGGGGCGAAGCCCCCCGCTAGGGGGTTAGGTCAGATTGTTAGGTTAAGTTAAATAAGGAAAACATTACTTTTTTGTCTTTTGGTAAATTTACAGTAGTTCACACAACTCCGTTAAAAAGTGAAAACTGTGTTTCTCTAGCGTTTTTTTTTGTGTGTGTTTTGATTGGTTCTGAACTTGATTTTCGTTGACCATTGCCTGTTTTTAGTTATGGCCCCCTTCAACCCCCAACAAGTTAGGGGATTCTGTTGGGAATTGGGGTTTTAGGTGGGGGAGAGAAACAAGCATTTTCCAACAAAAATTTTGGCCAAGAGAATACAAAACACACCAAAAAAAAACACTAGAAAAACATATAAACCTAACCTTTTTTTGGGATGACCCAATCTAACCTGACCTAACCTGATCTGATCTGATCTGACCTGACCTAACCTGATCTGACCTGACCTAACCTAACTGTATATTTATTGATAGTGTACAAATTCCCAACACATACACACAAAAGTGATGGATAAACATGAATTTTAAAGAATGAAAATAAAAATAATCCAAATAAATAAAATATTGTAATATGAGGCCCCCAGATTGTGGAGACCCCTGGGCAGCTGCCTACTCTGCCCACTCCTGAATCCGGGGATAAATTTATAGAGGTTCACACAACTGTTAGAAAGTCACACTATTATCTTCTAGTGGCGAAATCGCTCGCAGCACTTAGTAAACGTTTACCAAAAATCTATGGTTGTTACAGGAATATCATTACTATCGTAGTCTACCCACCATCACCACCAGAGTTTGACCTTGAGGCTTTAGTTCATATATACCCACCTTTACAATAAAATGAAAGTTGTCATACTATATTACGTCCTCACATAGACATAGTTACATATATAGAACACAAAGACTTACATATTTGAGCCATGGAACCATCTTATTCCTTGTTGAAAAGTGTTAATCAGTCTGGAGCGACGTGAAGCCATTACCTACTGTACACTGTTGCTGAGTAGCGGCTAGTGACGCGGCCGAGGCCAGTGTGGCAGACCCCCTCACAAACTATATTAAGCACATAACACACACAGTGATTTACTTCCATATATATATATATATATATATATATATATATATATATATATATATATATATATATATATATATATATATATATATATATATATATATATATATATATATATATATATATATATATCGATAAAATCACACGGGAAAATGGAAACAACGGAGTACCTTAGCTTTCGTCTTTATTCAAGACATCTTCAGAGGCAACTGGATTATATTGGACAGAGAGAGGCTTAAATATATAGGGTGACCTTAAAAACATGAGGTCAGGTCATAATGATGTCATCCACTAATCCCCACACCAACACACACGTAGAGGAGCTTAAGAGAAGGGTGGTGACGTGACTAGCCAGGTCAGGTCATGGTGACCCACAAGCTGGTCCTCCTCTGAGCATCCTCACCAACCAACTCTCTACATCACTTTTACTTTTTTTTACTTTTATCCTCTTCGCCACTGATCGGCTTGTTTGCCGCTTGGGCGATCGGTCACGTCTCTTTTCCTTTATATTCTTCACCAAAAGGTCGGCTCGCTAGCCGCCCGGGCGATCGGTCACGTCTCTGTCACGCACTGTTGGCAAATACTGGGCATGCACCGGCTCCTGAATGTACCAGAACCCGCTCCAGTGTTGGTCAAGTCTTCTCTTGAAAGAGCTCACACTCGGTGCCGTCACAACACTCTCTGGTAGATTGTTCCAAGAGTTTACAACCCTCACTCCGAAAAAGTTTGCCCTCACGGTTTTCTGGACGCGGCTTCTTCAATCTTGAGCTGTGACCCCTTGTGGGGCGAGCGTCCGCCAGCTCCAAGTAAGGACACTCAACTGAGTAGTGCCCCCTGAGATGCTTATAAACCTCAACTAGGTCCCCCCTTGCCCGTCTGTAGTATAAGCTAGGCAAGTTCAGGCGCTCCAATCTCTCAGGGTAGCTGAGGTGCCGAAGTGCAGGCACCAGTTTGGTGGCCCTCCTTTGAACATTTTCAACCAACTGACAGTCCCTAGCATATCTCGGGGACCAGATGGGGTGACAGTACTCCAGATGGGGAAGCACTTCACTCCTGAAGATCGTCACGAGGGACGGACCGTCTAGATATCTGAACGACCTTCTTATAAGACCCAATAATTTATTTGCCTGATTTACCTTCTTCTCACAATGGCCCGAGAACTTCAGCTCATTGTCAACATACACACCTAGGTCCTTCTCACACACAGTCTCAACTAGTACATTTTCTTCATCCCGTTGGGACATATGGTACGCCTCCTTACCGTTGGTACGCCCCAGGTGCATCCTCTTACACTTCGTGACATTGAATCTCAGCAGCCATTCCTTCGACCATTCCTGGAGCCCACAGAGGTCCTTCTGCAGCTCTTCACAGTCGGCTTGGTTCTTAATTTCCCGAAATAACTTGCCATCATCGGCAAACATTTGTGTGGAGGAGTGTACAACGTCAGGCATGTCATTTATGAAACAAACAAACAACAGCGGGCCCAATACACTACCCTGCGGTACCCCACTTGTTACAGGTACAGATGACGATTTCGTGCCATTAATCACCACACATTGCTTGCGGTCATGTAGAAAGTCTTCTATCCACGCTAGGACATTTCCCCGAATTCCGTACCCTTCCAGTTTGATTTTCAGCCTTTCGTGGGGTACACTGTCGAAAGCCTTGGCAAAATCTAGGTAAATATTGTCGATATTACCACCCCGTTCTAGAATATGGGTCCAAATATCCAATACCTTGAGCAATTGTGTCAAGCAAGAGCGCCCCGGCATAAAACCGTGTTGGCAATCTTTTACAAGGTTGTTTCGTAGTAGATGTTCCATCGCTGCATCTCTGATAATACTCTCAAGTACTTTACATATTATGCTGGTCAGGCTCACCGGTCTATAGTTGTTCGTGGAGTGACTATCGCCCTTCTTGAAGATAGGACTCACATAAGCCACTTTCCATTCACTGGGGACCATTTGTTCATCCAGGCATTTACAAAACAGAATCTTCAGGGGCTCTGCAAGCTCGTTGCACAGCTCCCTTAGCACTCTAGGATGCACCATGTCAGGTCCAGGACTCTTATGGACCTTTAGCCTGGACAGTTTATTTCTAATACCCTCTTCTGTGAACACAATGTGGGTCAGTGCTGTGTCGAACCGTCTGTCCTCAAACGCAGGAAGGTTAGTTGCATCCTCTCTTGTGAACACTGAGGAAAAGAAGCTGTTCAATGCCTCAGCTTTATCCTGGTCAGAATCTGCGTAACTACCATCTTCAAGCCTCAGGTCTGATACGCCTACTTGCGTTTTCAATTTCGACTTTGCATAGCGGTAAAACGCCTTTGGGTTTGACTTGACCTCGCGTGCAACCAGCCTTTGGAACTCCTTTTCAGCCCTCCTACACTCTATCTTTGCTTGTAACCACGCTGCCACTTCCCAGCATCAAGCTGCATTGTACATCCAATACAACATGTATACAGAGAGCACATTGTGAGTTTCCTTTCTCCATCCCATCCTGAGTGTGAATCAAACAACCCATACCCCACAAATGGTGACCCCCGGAGATTCGCACTCACACAGGATGGAGGAGAAACTGATCACTCTCCCAGTCTTCAAGCAACATGGAAGACTGGCTTATCCACACAGAGGCAGCTCTCATCGGCTCTACAGCTACTGTCTCTAAACTGCAGGTTAGACACCCTAGAGCAGCTCTGCTACTCTAAGCAGACAACCGCTCCTCTTCCTGCCCCAAGCACCACGTCCTACCGACCCCAACACACCCGCCCTGCCTCAGACGCCGCCCCCGACCCAGCAGTACCCCCTGCTGCTCCTCCTGACGCGGACCCACACACCCCTCTTTTCTCCCCCGGGTACCCCTTGCTACTGTCCTGCATCCTGCTGCTGTCGTGGACCCTGCTGCTGTCATGCACCCTGCCGCTGTCATGAACTCTCTTCCTAGCACAGCCCCTGCTCCTGACCCAGGCCCACACACCCCAACAGGCGCACCTGAAGACGCTGTACCTGTTGCGAGGGAAGCACAACATTCATCGCCTCCACAACCCTCCTTCTCCCACAGATCTCGTGTATCTAGACAGAGTTGCCCCCCCTAGCGGCCGGCTCATCCACGCCCTCGCCGTTATGTCTCACATGTGGCATGCACCGCCCGTTCTGCCTCACATGTACCATGCAACCCTGCAGACAACAAGTCTCCTACACCGCCTGGAGGGAAGGGGGAGTATTGTAGTGGATTTCTCCCCTACAAACGCTGTTTGTCGCTGAGTAGTCGACCCCACCAATTCCCCAGTGTATGCCTCGTGGTCTGGGTCAACCAGCGCCTCCTTACATGACGGAGGTCAACTATTAAGCCACGCCCACCTCTGCTATATAAGACCTGACCTCATGGTGACCTACCTCTTTCTACCTACAGCCAGTCTTCAAGCTACACCACCTCCTCCACTCCTGCCTGGCGGCCCTCGCTCCTGCCGGCGAGCATGGCGACCCACAAGCAGGTCCTCCTCTGAGCATCCTCACCAACCAACTCTCTACATCACGCTTGTAACCACGCTGCCACTTCCCAGCATCAAGCTGCATTGTACATACAATACAATATGTATACAGAGAGCACATTGTGAGTTTCCTTTCTCCATCCCATCCTGAGTGTGAACAAAACATCTCGTACCCCACAACGTCATAAAAGTAAAGTGTCTGAGAAATGTATGAACTATTGGCTGCAAAGATAAAATAAATACAATAAATATAATTTTGTTAATTCTTAAGTTATATTAAAGAAATTAACTTTAGTTATAAAAAAATAATAACAGAGAAATTCACATAATGGAACTAGTCAATTTTGACAAAATGAATTTTAAATTACAGATTAGTATTAGCAAAATTTGATAAGAATATAGTAAATGGATTTCAGGAATATTAGGAACCCTAGTATAATGGTTTGGTTAGGTTAGGTATATTCTGTTAGGTTAAATTAGGTTTGGATAGGTTAAATTAAGATTGGATACGTTATTTACTTTTTTACTTTTATCCTCTTCACCACTGATCGGCTCGTTAGCCGCTTGGGCGAAAAAGTTTGCCCTCACAGTTTTCTGGACTTGCGGCTTCTTCAATCTTGAGCTGTGATCCCTTGTGGGGCGAGCATCCGTCACAATAAATTAAATTAAATATGGTTAGCATACGTTAGATTAGATTAGGATAAGTTAAGATTTGGTTAGGTTGTGTTAGGTTCCACTCCTAATTCACAAGTAATGTTTTTCTATTGTTATAAATAATTTTAGGAAAAGAAAAACACTCAATATGCACATTTCATTAGCTAGACAACATACATAATTTATGGGTCTTATAAGAAGGTCGTTCAGATATCTAGACAGTCCGTCCCTTGTAACGATCTTCAAGAGTGAAGTGCTTCCCCATCTGGAGTACTGTCACCCCGTCTGGTCCCTGAGATACGCTAAGGACTGTGAGTTGGTTGAAAATGTTCAAAGGAGGGCCACCAGACTGGTGCCTGCACTTCGGCACCTCAGCTACCCTGAGAGATTGGAGCGCCTGAATTTGCCTAGCTTATACTACAGACGGGCAAGGGGTGACCTAGTTGAGGTGTATAAGCATCTCAGGGGGCACTACTCAGTCGAGTGTCCTTACTTGGAGCTGGCGGACGCTCACCCCACAAGGGCTCACAGCTGAAGATTGAAGAAGCCGCAAATCCAGAAAACTGTGAGGGCAAACTTTTTCGGAGTGAGGGTTGTAAACTCTTGGAACAATCTACCAGAAAGTGTTGTGACAGCACCGAGTGTGAGCTCTTTCAAGACAAGAACTTGACCAACACTGGAGCAGGTTCAGGTACATTCAGGAGTCGGTGCATGCCCAGTACTTGCCAACAGTGAGTGACAGAGACGTGACCAATCGCCTGGGCGGCTAGTGAGTCGATCTTTTGGTGAAGAGGACAAATGAAAAGGAAAAGTAATCAGAGACGTGACCGATCGCCCAAGCGGCTAACGAGCCAATCAGTGGTGAAGATGATAAAAGTAAAATAAGTAAAAAAGTTAATTATATTTTTAAAATAACAGTTCTAAATGGAAGCAAAATGTTAACCTATTGTAATGACTAATTTTACACGCATGCATGGGCATCTGCAGGGGTGTGCAAGGTTTTTTAAGTGAACTGTTTGTTCCTTAATGTTTCCACAAGTTACTTGTGTTTAGCTGGTACTTTTGAAAATTCCTGTGTGTGAGAATTACGATGTCATTGGCAAGAGTGATAACTGGTGCCCGGGCTGGCTGACTCAGGCAAGACCATCATGATGTCCACACCACAGAGGATCCGTGTATAGCTGGTGTTAGGTCATGATGAGGCCTCAACCACTTGTTAACAAAATTTACTATTTATATTTTACAGTTATTTAATTAAGCAATTTTCAGAAAGATTTTGCTTATTGTACACATAACTTTCTTTTCTTTAAATTTTTGATAACGGGTATGATATTTGTATAACTGCACAATTTGTCTAGTACAATACAACATATAATTGTAAACACTATAATATTCATTTATATTATTATTGATATATGAAAATAAAAGCAAAACAAATATGGTGGAAAGCTCTGAGGTCGGTACAGTTGGGGATATATATATTTCTTTATTTACACCAACTGTCATGGAAATTATTCAGTTACCTGTATAAGCATGGTTCAAAAATCTGCTACAGTGAGTTCATGTATACCAAGAATGTCACTTACAAAACAAAGTTGTGGTGGAAATGTGAGAAAAGAGCCAGTGGTTGCTGAATATAGGAGCAAAATAACAGCTAAATGATCTACATCATTAATAATTTTGCTGATGAGTCACAGTCCTGGTTTGAAATGTGGACCCAGCGTCAACATTCCCAGAATAAAACCGCATCTTATTCCGGTCTAACAATTTCAGATCACCCCTCGGTAATTTGAATCTCATTTCAAAGTACCAGGGGTATGTTCTAACTAGGTTCAATATACCCAGGGGTTAATAAAAACTTTGGTTCAAACTACCCTCTTTAGTTTCAAATTACCTCCACATATACTAAAAGGAAATCATGTTTTGCATGTTAGAAAAAACATGTTATCACTCGGGCACACACATACATACAGATATGGGCCTATGTACACATCCTGTCTAAAACTACACTTTCTTGATATATTAAGCATATTAATAGATTTTTTCATAACTCCTAGGATGTCAAGAATTGATCATTACCATTATAAAATTTGTTTTAAATACAATTAATTACATTTTCAAAACTCAATACTTCCATAATCACACAAAACAAACAAGAATTCAATAAAATTTGGTGCATTTTTATATCTATATAGCCAACTTAACTGTAAGAGATATGGGGTAATTTAAAACTGGAAGGGGAATTTTCAACCTAGGTTCAAATAACCGCAGGGTAATCTGTAACTTTAACACCAGTGCAACCTTATCCTTGACAGATCTTCTGAAATAGTGTGATTTGTTTCTTGCTATTCGAGAAGTCCTATTGATCTTCTTGACACTGTAGTAGAGTGGTCAATTAGCACACCAAGACATGTCAAGACATAGCTTCAATTAACAATGTCAACTGAACGTGTCTGGATTGTGCATGCACAACGTACATGCCAGAAGGTGTTAGATAGAAAGAAAGCCTTCATTGAAGACACGATTGATCAATTTAGAGCTAATAAGCGCCGCCTGCAGGATTTATTTAACCATTGAAATTACGCTGCTAATGTTCTGAGCAAGTCACCATTTTGACAAACAGATAGCATTGGCCATCCCTAGTTGATCAGGATTAAGGATATAAAATTAATTATCATTAGATTTTAATGCTTAAACGTCAACCCTTTGATAATTTTAGAGGTAAATAATTTGGTGATAACACTGATAAGTGATATTGTTGATCATCAAACAGTATTCGATTGTACTTGGTCATACTTCTTTAATAAATTGATATGTCTGGTATTGTCTTGCTTTCTTGCATCCCCCTGGAAAAAATCCTGTGGATGACCATGTGTGAATAGACATACAAAACTAAGTGTAGAATACAGTAGGAGTTTGAAAAAAGAATTGAAAAGGATGAAGTTGAAAGAGTATGTTTATGGGTTAAGTTATTTAGTTATAATAAGTTATGATGCACCTGTTTCAGGGTCATGTTCTTGTTTTCACAGATGGTATTAGATGATGATAAATGACTCGTTTTACCTTAGCATGTTTGGTCTTTTGACATTACCTGTAGTACCGCACAAGTGCAAAAAACAATTAAGCTGGTTTATGTGCAAAATAAGGTTTCAAAAAAGTTTCACTCATTACTTTGAACCTGTTTTTTGTTGTTTTTAATACTTAATTTTTAAACCCCTGGACTTGGACAGTTTAGAGATATACTGTATACTTAACTGGTAGCAGGAGTTCAGTTAGTAGTTTGCCTTGTGCTAAATGTTCTCAGTTATTAACAAGAATTCATTCTCTTTCAGTATACAGTACGTGACATAAAGAGTAGACTAGTTTGTAATTAATGCCGAGGAATTTTAGCTCCTCACCATGGAACAACTCTGCGAGTTTTGGGCATGTATACTTGATTGATGAAGACATCCATGCAGAGAGAAAAAGAGAAACTTACCTATACAGTACTGTGCTTATCATGTTGATGTGAGTTATATAATATCAAACTGTATTATAACAAGGGTTTACAGTATTTTCCATTGAATTAGACTACATGTATTGTGTATTTCTGAATGACAGTTTTATTCTGTAATCTCCTGTTGTACTTTTTAAAATTACTGTACCATACAGTACTGTACTGTATTTAAAAAGTACACTCACTCAAAAAAGTATCAATATGATTTTGTCTTAGACAATACTGTATAACAAAATGGACAAAGGATTTTGACAACAGGAGTCACAGTGTTCATAAAGAGTGCATGTACTGTACAGGTATTGATGAGGCAATTATATGAAGCATAAGATTGTATAATAATTTATTTTGAAATAAATAATATTGTTACGAAGCTTCTCCTTCGCTTACCCAGCTTCCACCACTGGTTACCAGCGGCTTGAGTCATATGTACAGAAGCAGTAGATCTCTCACAAGAGTTGTCGAATTACCACTGGCTGTCCCGCCAGTCTCCGGTAACTTCCCCGACGATCGGAATCAGTGTAGACAAACAATAGGCAGATAGCTTTCCACCAGGTCACAGAAACACACTTGTGCACTGTAGTCTTCTTTTATAAACACCAATTCTCCACAACACTGCTCGCAGAGTAATGTCTTCACAGCTCTACTTCACACATCAAATATATATTCAGCACACTACAGTACCAGTGTACAATTCGTTAGTCTTCTCACTTTATATTGTTCACAACAGTTCCACAATACTTGCACAACAATTGTCTTCAGTTGTTCTGCTAGGTTTAGTGTTTACACTGAGAGCATAGGCGAGCGGCTAACTGCCCCTAGGCAGGCCGCGCCTGCTTATACAAGCCTCGTCAGACGCTTCTCGAACATCCTAGAATCACCCAGAGACGCCTGGGAGATTCTAGAACGTTCTACCGTGATCATGGCTTATAATAATAAATATATTGGAACAAAAATGATGCAATACATTCTAGAATATTCTTACATAATTACAGTAATACATCAATATACACACAAAAATTTCACTACATTTACCAAAATAACTGCTGCATGGGACAGAAAACAATCAAAACACCTAGTTTACGAAATTATGCCTCGGCATAAAAATACAGTACAGTAATAACTCTGCTAGCCGGAATCCCACTTAACTGGAATTGAAATTTTCTCGGACAATCGTTCCCAAAGCCATAATTTTCTGGTAAATTCCAGCTTTGGGAACGATTTTCCAAGGGGCACTTTTTCTGGAAAATTTTACCAATACCCAGAAAATTCCGTTGATGGGGGATTTTTTTTTCCAGGTTCAAGAGATGAAAATCAGGTGCATTATCCAAAAATTAAAAAAAAAATATTCCGCTACCCGGAATATTCTGGGGATGATGGATAATTTTCCAGGTTCGAGAGATGATGTAATGCGCAATTTCTGGAACTTGCAAGAACAGTTTTTCATTACCCATAAAATGCCAGGGAGGAGGGATTTTTTCCGGTTTTGAGAGTCGTCTCGTTACCCAGAAATCTCTCATTCTTGGAAGTGCTCTGCACCAATTGTTCCGGCTAATGGAGATATCACCGTAGTTTGATCTAAGTAAAGGTCCCAATTGAGAGATTTGTTTCTAAATTGCATCTGCTCCATGATAATTATTACCAAGTTTCCTTCATTCAATTCCAGTATTGGGGAGCTGTGTTTACAAGGCTGTAAATGTGGCCTTATTCTTTCCTGTGAACACAGCTGAAGGGGTTGCTAGTGAGTACTGTATTAAAACTGAGGTGATGACATCGAAGTTTCCATCTTTTAAGTCATGAGTTTGATTTATGAACTTGATATACAAATTATTGTGAAATCCTATCAAATTGAATATCTCCTCTATTAATAGAACAAAAATAAAATAAAATAAGCTATTACCTGTAATCAGAAATTCAGGTAACAGATAAAGGTAAAGCATTAAAAAAACAAATACGTACTGTAATTTCATTCTCGTTTATTTAAATTCTTTTCTCACACGTACCATTATTAAATAACGAATATAATAATTCAATGCTACAATTACATATCAAATTAACCCGAATCTACGGTACATTATTTTCTTTCCTGCTTAAATCATTAAGCATCAATGTTGACCTTTTTTGAGTAATTTTCTGCATTCTGAAGACTAAAAGTAAGTCTTGAACCTAAAGCACTGTACATACATTATTAAAACTGTCATGAACTTTGTGACATTTTGGTGATAAAACTAAAATCTCACCTCAAGTAATACCCAGCACAACCAGTGTAGTTTATAACAAGTTCATAAATGTTAATATAGTCCTCAACATTGTAGCACTTAAGAATTATTCTGGTATTAGCTTGGGGAGTATAAGAGGTAGTACATATGTGTGTAGTAACAGAAAGAATCATTTTAGTCTTAAGTGAGAGAAAATTTGGAAAGCTTTATGGAATGACATGGTTATGTAGATCAGATGTTCGCTTACAAAGAATGTTAAGTGAGCAAGGAAGTGAATATATTTACTAATCTAGATATGGGAGAGAACAATGTGTGAGTGTGTGATATTTATACGTAGATTAGTGGGCTAGTTCATCACCTTGAGAATGTTTGTTTACAAAACATTGAAGAAAGAAGAATTTATATTTTTATTTTAGCCTTGAATAAATTATTTTTGTTTATTAATAATGTGATTGTGGTTAGATGAGTGCTGGATCTGTACATGCAGGGTGGAAAAATAAGTGTAGGATATACTGAGTGAAATGAGTGTGGATCACCTTCACTCTGAGAATCTGAATTGAGAAAATCCTAAAGAGAGAATTTATTACCTCGAGAAAAAAAGGTGTAATTAGTACTGTATCTGATAATTTAGAAATTTTTTAAAATAAAACATGAAAAGCATTTACAATTTTTTGGTGTAGAAGGAGAATTGTTAAAGCTGTCAGCATTATGAGAAGAGAAAAGAATTAAACAGGTTAGAAATTGCAGGTTATTACAGGCCTAAAGTTAAATCCACTAAATACAATGCTGAGTTATACTATGATATTATTTTAGGGAAGTATTTGCTTCAGTAACCACTATCATTCCATTATACTTTGCATCTCCTGGCCCATCATTAGCTCTCTGTCTGTTGGTTACAATTATGAACATCTATTGGAGTTTTCCTTTACTTTAGGTGTAATGGCAGAAACTGTTAATGAGAGCTATGATAGGGATTCTGTATGTGTTATTGGTATATGGTATTGATGATAAAGCCAACAAATGAATGTAATGAATAATTAAGAAATATGAAAGGGAAGTGTAAGGTAAGTGTTGTAATTAACTCATTGAGGGCTTACTACAGTATATCACTTGGACAGTTTACTTTCATATGCATTGCAAAATATAAGGGTGACATCTTCACATCGATTGGTTCTTACAGATCTTTAGCGTAAGTACGTATATTTTAATTTACAATATATTTTTCAATTTACTTACTTTATAGTGCATTTCTAGGAATGACAAGGGAAATAACTTTCACTCAAAGAATTTAAACATCAGATAAAAATTTTCTTGATTACTTTATTCATGTTTAACTAAAAGGTCTTAAAAGTTTGTTGAGTTTACTTCACTAACTAAGATTTTTTCCATTCCATTACCAGTTACACTACAAAAGGCCAATGTTGTATGAAACACTGTGGTATAACCTTCCTCATGAGGCCTATCACTATTTGGATAACAATAACAAAAAAATATTGATTTTATAGAAGAAAGTTCACAACCTTCACTACAACAAGGTAGCATCATCTAAGCTACATTCAAATGATGCACAATAATGGAAGGGTGTTATGCAATGTGGAAATAATGACAAAGTATAAAACTGATTAAAAGCAAGGTGCTCGTAGGGATACATAAGTTCTATGTAGAAGGTCTTGTGTTAAGAGAACTTAGCTAAAACACAGCACACTGGTGAATCACTTAGGAATGTGGGAATAAAACAAAAAAAGGATTCTTAACATAGACAGTATAACATAGATTAAAGGCAAAATATACTGTACGTACTCGTTGAAAAGAGAAATCGTGTGATATGCAGTTGAAAGTAACTGGAATAGAGACTGATAGTATAGAATGGCACAAAAATTACTGGAAGATTATTATAAGTACATAATGAAAAATAAAAGAGCAAGCATTTCAGTCGATGATGTTCGTTTTTAAAATATATCTTAATTTATAATAGTAATCAACGGATAAATGCGAGATTCAGATTAAGATTATTCAGTCTACAAGGTTTTCAGGAACACAACCCTATCATAGAAGTAGACTATTGGAATTTGTGCTCTTGTGAACTGTTCTACCTACACCTATAATACTCCTTTGCTAATAGTTTTTTGGCGGACTATACCAGGTGACAGAATAACGTTACAAATAGTACAGTACTATTAATATACAGTACAGGAAAGCAGAGTTAAGAACTAAGCATGTCAAGGAAGAAAGAAGTACAGTATAGACTAATAAATCATGAGGGTGAGGAAAGAAGCAAAGATGTTTTAGTAAATGGAGATCAAATCAGAGAGAGAGCAGTTGGTGAATAGCCAATTTGTTGCTTTTGTACTGTTGGCAGATAAAACCTATTAACACTCAAACAGACTAAAGGAAAACAGATCTAGATTTTAGAAGAGGTTTATGAATTAATACAATTACTGTATAACCATGGATCTGGGGGGAGTGAAATGGAAATGAAATACAGTACAAAAGTTTTAAAATTTAAGCTGTTGAAATGAATCATGTGAGTGACAGATGTGGTAAGAGCTAAGAGTTGAAAAAATAAATAAAATATAGAAAGTGGAATCAATAAGAGTGGAGAAATAATTGGTTTGCAGAGAGTAAAGGAACCACAAGGATCCTGTTTAATTCGGCAACTATCAACATCTTCGAAGAGAAATGATGACTACCGGTACAGAAAGAAAAACATTTCCAGTGTGTGAGATGAATATTTACATACAGAGCAAGGCTATAAAAGCAATTTCAAAGGTAAGAGTAAAATAAATAAAAGACAAAGGAAAAACAATAGATATGACATATGCCCCGTGAGATGTGTAAACTGACAGTAAAGACAATGTAAACAGAGGTGTAAGAAGCTAAGGTGTTTGGTTCATAGATTACGATGCAGTGTAAAGAGATGTGCATAATGGTATTTAGCTCATAGACAACTAACCCCTGTAGTATCATTTAACTTACAGGAGAAAAATGTGGACTTTAACAAAAAATATATTAATTCCTACACCAACATAAACAACACAGCTATGATATTCATGAAACAAATTTAATCTTATATCAAAGCAAGTACAGGTGTGTCAACATTTTCTAAAAAGGCCATGTTTTACCAAAGGTATATCAAGTAATATATCTAATTATCTACATTCATTAGTTTATTGACTCATTGATCACATTAAAGTTACTCAGGTGTCATCCAATTTGAACATTATTTCAGTTTAAAAGCAAGGAACTGAATATTGAAGGATGAAGAGAACAATTGGTATTTACAAGGCAAAATGCAATAGTTAAGTGATGTATTGGGTGATTATTTGATGGGTTGGATGAATAAGTTTTTTTTCAAATTTCTAAAATAAATGTGTATGATGATCAACTTAAAACCTCCTCCTTGTGACCATACATAATGTTCCTTTTAGAGAAGTCTCAATTATAGCACTGTGTAAGTTAAATAATGAAGATAGTAATATACATATGCATTCTGTTCTTTGTACTAGAACATTATAAATTAAGAACAAATATGTATACATTAAATATCACATATATAAGACTAGCATCAGTATTGTGACATGATTATTAGTAAGCAATACTTATTTTCAACATGTTTCACTCAAAGAAAATAAATACAGTATAACAAAATCTTCTAACATGCAGTAAACCCTCCAATTAATCCAAACATTAACAAATTCTGTGATTATTGGGAATTTTTGGGCTAACACTTCATTACAACGCACTGTGGTGGACTGATAAACATTACTACCTCTGATATCCCACCAACTGTGCTCCTTACCACTGTGTCATGTTAAACTCACTGTTAGAAATTTATTGTTCTGATGTTAATTTATTGAGTAGAATATGTTACTTTAGCTTAAGTCATGTTTATAAATATCATATTCATAATTAATAAGCCGAGTATTTATGTCTTTGGTAGAGTTATAAACAATTCGTATAAGGTAATTCAATAGCTCTAGCTACTGTAATACACAAACAAAAGGTTACTTATAATTAAGTGGTAAACAAAGTTTTTGTGACCAAATAACATCCTTCCCCCTGCAAGCTTTGGTAAATGGAGAGTTTACCGAAGATCTACAGTTACTAACCCAGCAATGTAACTTCTTTCTTTGAATGATCTTTTTCTTTCAGGAATGCAAAAAAGTATTGCTAATAATGAATATTTACATTTCCAGTGACTGAGACAGATCATAGTTCCTTAGATGAGAAGTAGTAAAAAATTCTCAGGTCTCAAGTTAACATTTATAGAAAGACAACAGACCAGGCATATTGCACATACTGTAATGGTAAAAGATAAAACCTTAGCCACTGAACTGTATGTCACTTGGCCACAAGAACCTACAATGAATGTAAACCATTGATAAAATTCCCCTTTCTGGAAGGTAAATGTATCATCTGGAGGGTACTTCTGACACCCAGTGATGCCCATACCTAATGGGAATATCAGGACTTCCGCTTAGTACAAATTATAGTATACCTTACAGTATATACTGTACAATATAAGTACAGTACAGGCATCCCCCAGGTTACGGAAGGGTTCCATTCCTGAAAATCTTTCCGTAAAGCAAAATTCTGTAACGCAAAACCACTTTTCTCATATGCTTCCAGCATAAAAGTTGAGATGCATTCCTAAGGAAATTTCTTAAGGCCCAAAAATGTGACACAAGCACGTATGTGTATGAAATTAGACAGTTTTAGCCACATATGATGAGTCATTCATGATGTAACATGATAAAAAATGAACAGAACACTCTAATTTTACTTACCAGAAACAATATTGAGTGCTGCAGGTGGTGGTGAAGTTGTGGGATCAGAATTACTGGGAGTTACCTCCTTACAACATCAAGTTTAATGTCCAATGTAATTCCTTTATGGAATCTTTTATCACCACTGCTTTCACTTGAACTTGATAGGCTTTTTCCACTCATCTTGAATAAGGGTACAAAGTAACAGCCACATAACTGAAAACAACCTGGGGAAAGAATTTAAACTGAGCAGCTCCATTGTTATGGTGATTGATGATAACTGGGGAGTTGAGCGGCCTTGTGGCCACCACAAATGCATTCACACACTACTTTTAAATTTTTTTGGTTAAATTTTTTATTAAAAATAGCATTTTTTTCTTTAAAATTCCATAGAGGTTATTTTCTTTTCTGTAACCCGAAATTAAGGTCTAAATTTGTAAGTTCCGTAAGGGCGAAATTCTGTAACCCGGGGGATGCCTGTATTTTCTTTAGATTAAATAACACAATATTTTCTGCACATATCTTCACTTACCATTGTAAAGTAGAAGAAAAAGCATTACATTAATAAGTTCTTACTAAACACCTGACCTGCCGATTTTTTATAATAAACTTTAAATATTTACTGAAAAAAGTGCCTCTGGCATCAACATTAACCTTAATTATCTAAACTTTAACTTATAGTAAATTATCCAAATAACCATAACATCACTGAACACATTCTTCATGACCTTCTTGAGCACAGGTATCACACCTATGCACCCATTTTCTAGCCTGACTAATTATGACCAGTCCTGTACAGTATTAGTAATAATGCCCTCCAAGTGACTAAACATTATCCTGGGTGACCACAGCTGCCAGTAACAACACAGATAATCACACAAAAACCCTCTGTGGGAAATATTCCATTACAGTAATTATATTCAAATACTGTACTGTATTTTGACACAAATATTGTAGATGAAAATATACATAGCTGACTTACCTTTAGGCAGCCTCATGAATTTCATGTCTTAACTTTTACATTGTGTAACATCTGTTAAAAGTGGCCACCTTTGCTTAGGTCATACGATTTCACTCACTTTTTTCTTCCTTGATGATCTGCCGGGAGAAAACGCTAATTAAGCATAATATAAAAATGAAGAAAAAACAAATCTTTCATAAACTACAATGTGCCAAATAACATGCACAATACATCTAAAAAGAATCTCTACATTTAATGGATACAAATGCATTATATAATTTATAGAGAAGTGAGTGACTGACAAATTCTAAGGCACTCCCAGAGAAGATAGACTGTACTGTATATTTTAATTATAAAACAAATGCACCTTGAAATGTTCCTAAAATAAAATATAACCTGAACACTACAAATAACTGGCTCTGCAGTCAAGTGAATAGAAAATTAAAATTTGTCCCTCTATCCAGCACTATTATTCTATGACAAACAAACTGTTGAGTAAAACTATGTGAGGCAACATCTGTTATTTCCAGAGGAGTGACAAAACTTATTTTAGTTATGTTATGTACAGTACATATTAGCTTACTAGCCATATGGGCAGTTGATCTGTTTTTTGATATGAACTTTTATTATCCAGTGTTAGTACAGAAGGAAACCTGTGATGTTTGGTCGAGGGTCACTTGTAGTGTATTTGTATTTCAAGTGTTAACCCCGTGTATGGGGACTTCTCCGTGCACAAAATCATCTGGCTTTTGTCTATTAAAATATAATAAGTGGTGTCCCCGAAGTGAAGGTGTTAGACAGACCATCTAAAATATGATATTGATCCAGTTACCAAGTAATTAACATATAAAGTATTGGTAGGTTGTATTCATATTATTTTATGTTTTAAATTACTTGTATCACCTACAATAACCAGGAACTATGACATTAGTGTTTAATAGAAATTACTGTACTGTGTACCATTAAAACTAGCCTCCTGACACTTGGTCCACCCTGCATGACAAAGATAATTTGTTTTAAGCTCTTCTACTTACTGTTGTGTATTTAGGTATTTTAGTCATTATATTAAATATGTGGCCATTATCATCACTTTTTATGGCCATTTTCCATACTTAGATGGAATAGCCAAGATTACCTAATGGCATGATGGTCCATTTGTCATCAGGAAAACATGAAGCAAGTTTTACAGCTGGATGCAATTCCTTTTACCAAACCACCTCTACAGCATAGGAACTGGGCATTTTAAGTAGGACTTCCAAACACCCTCTTAAGCTGGCAAGGATACTCCCTGAAGTAACCAAAGTTTACCCAATCTACTATTAATCATAATTTATTTGCTCATAAGAGACCCTGAGTTAATATAGACTAGAAAAAACCATCACTGCATATTTCTTTCACCAATAAGTAAAGAAAGAGATAACCTCAATCTCACACTAATTTATTTTTCCTGGTGTAACATCATCTTCATCTGCAGTAAGGTTTTATTTTTCAATTTTTATTTTTTTTATATTTCTTTTAAAGTGTCTTACTTATTACTGCAAGGTAAGCAAATATGTTAAATTCCTTGAACTGGATGTAGACAGATGATAGAATACTTGGGGGACACTATCACTGGTAAGTACAGACACTCAAGCCAAGAACTTGACTCTACACCCATGGCAAGAATTATGTTCTCTTAGTCCTAAAATACAGAGTCAAATACAAGATTCCAAACCAAGAGCACCACTAATGAACCCAGATATGTACACCTTGTGAGCACTGGATGTATAAGAGCAGCTGATACAGTGCTGTAGTTTTAGACATGCAACCCTTACACCACATTTGTCAAGAATATGATTAACATTAGACATCTGAGTGTTCATTATCCGTTACCAATTAAAATGGGGTGTTTGAGCCACCTACACACACCGGCTGTTATTAAAATTAATATAATTGACATACTGTAGTCCCCCAATGCTGCTCTGGAGTGCCTCTCAATATGTGAAATTCTACAGAAGTTAATAAATATCATAAAAGATATTTACGGTATAACTTTGAGTCCTTGAGACCAATGATTATTTTACTAGACTGATGAAAGCCAAGGAAAGGGCAGTGCTCTACCCTCCTTCAACTGTCCCCAAAACTTGTGTATACAGTATCATGCAAAGTCAATCACTATAGCCACAAGCCATATCATAGCAGTAGCACTAAAAATAATGATAAATCAGCTGAAAAAAACAAAAAAAAACATGCAACTTTACAATATGTGGCTAGATTACATAATATTACTGCATAAAATGGAAAACAACAATAAAGGTTAAAATAAAGTGCTACATGCATAACAGGGGCTCTTTGTTCCACAATGTTCTAATTGAATCACTTCTCAAGTTAGAATTACATCATAAAAATGACCAATAAGAGATCATCCTAAGCACCCATTGTTAAGTGACTGATTTACTAATATTCTATCCTCTGCTTGAGTGCTGCCTCTCAGTTTATTGACTGTATGAATCACCCTTAACTAATAACTGTGACTTAAAGTGTCTTAGTCCCCAAGGCTGCAACAAGGCCGGACAAGATCATGATTTCTGACATGACTCTTCGGAGTGATTGTGGCGAGAGAGAATTATTAAAGTGATATATTAGTGTCATAGCCCTACCACTTTGCTAATTCAAATTACATGTATTATCTCAACAATTTTGGATATACACAGACACTTGACACATACACACATACTGTTATTTTCTATATCTTTCTCTGGTGGTGAAGTGGTGGGAAGGACTACTCTGTGTGTGTGTGTGTGTGTGTGTAAAGACAATGTTTATGGTTACAAGTTGTATTTAAAATCAACATACTGTAGTGTTCAAGCAGTGCACAATAAAACCCCTGTAAAACATTTGAAACCGTGTAAAATGCATTTCTCATAAATTCCTGGTGAATAACCTTAATGTAAAAGAGTATCACTTGATAACTGATAACAACAACAACTATGGCAATCATCTCCTTCAAAACTTTGTACTCGTATGCTGAAAAAAAGTGTTTTACAATATGCATTGGACATGGATCAGTGTATAGTACAGTATCTTACAAATAAATGAATTCCACTTTAACTACACAGTCTTGATATAATGTTTCCTCTCTCTCTTTCGACCTGTGGGCAAGCTAATTTAACTTTGTGTTCCTTGAGATATATCATGCAGCTCTGACCTTAACAAACACCAACCATAATTACAGGACACAGATGAGACCTGGGGTTTGTCTTCTGATTAGGACTACTTTAGATTTTCTTAAAAATATATAAACCAAAGAAAAAAATATTACAACAGATTCATGTTTTTCAAATACTATACAGTTGGTCCTCATATTACGCGGTTAATGTAACCCGGAGGGTACCGCGGAAAGTGAGAAACGCGTAAAGTGAATAACATAACATATGGGATTAATTGAAATGGAGTCCGGGCCGATCCCCAAACTCCACTTTTTGACGACACACAACTACAGTATGTTGTAGTAAAAATATTATCTTAACTTTATGATGGCATGCACACACAATTAATAATTAAGAGAAACATCAATAATATTAGGTTTTTTAACACTTACATTAGTAGAAAAGATGGCTGGGCACACGGGGATGGGCGGTTGGTTCCGAGGCAGAGGGCAGATTATTGGCCCTCACCTGTATCACTTGTATCAATTATATCACTATCCACCACAGAGGCTTGCAGGGCCTCTTTGTCAAACCCCCCAAAGTTCATATAAGTCCATATCCTCACTATAATTATCACTATCACTGACTTGGGCCGGCTGTAGTGGGTGGCGGGTGAAGAACTGGTCATGTTTTGATGACTGGGCAACCTTGTGCGCACCATTTTCGCGCCTCTTACACAACATGGCGGATGGCGGGAGGTTTGGATCCAAAAATGGCGCGGCTTGCCAGCCGCTCTCCGCGTAATGGGGTTCACGACCGCGGAATGTGAAAATGTAAGGTTCTGGCAAGGCACCGCGTTAACGGTGAAACGCGGAATGCGGGACCGCGTAATATGAGGACCAACTGTACTGAATATTATTGGTCATAAAAATGTGATAAAATTTACAAGTCTACCCCTTTTAATATTCAAGCACTAGCAGATATCAAGACTCTACTCTTGTCTATATTCATGTGTCAGTTCAGTGCATTTAAGTTATCTATACTTTAATAACAAAAGTAGAAATATCCAAAAGCCTCAATAAATTTAACTGAAATTGTTTCTTACAGTGTGGTATCAGGGGATAAAAGGTATTACATTATTGTTTTGGGTTTTGTGTCCAGGTACAAAAGAATTAGTGCTTTGGGGAGATATATGACCTTCCCCAAAAATACCTGCTTTGGGGAAATAATCTCCCCCCAAATACCTGTACAGTAATATCTCCATTAGCCCAAATCCCCCAAACCTCTACCGATAGCTGGAATTTAAATTTTCCAAGGGGCACATTTTCCGGAAATTTACGAGAGAATTTTCCCGATACCCGGAAAAATTCAAGTATGGGGGAGTTTTTTTCCGGGTTGGAGAGATGAAAATTAGGTGCATTCTCCGGAAATTACGAGAAAAATTTATGGGAGATATTTTCCCGAGTTAGAGAGATGACGTAATGGGCAATTTTAGGAACTTCCGAGAAAATTTTTCTGGTACCCGGAAAATTCTGGGACGAGGGATTTTTTTCCAGCTTCGAGAGTCGTTTCGTTACCCGGAAATCTCTCATCCCCAGAAGTGCTCTGCACCAATTGTTCCGGCTAACGGGGATATCACTGTACACCTGTTTTGGGGATATAAACTCCCCACAACATTTGAATTTTTGCATATGTTTAAGTTCAGTTGTTCAAAGTTGAAATTAAATTAATATTTAGCCGAACACACACAATATTAGCTAACATCGTTACACAAATACAGTAAACATAATGACCTAAACACAGTACTGTACCATGCCAACTCCTTAACCACTATTTAACCTTCAAATGTCCTGAAACCAGTGTACAGTACGTACCACTAAACTCAGGAATTTACTTGTAATGCACTAAAGGGGAAGGAAATTAGTTGTTAAAAATAACATATACAGATTAACAAAAAAGACATAAATCATAAGTGTTAATAGTGTAAAGTATATTTAGCAAGACACTACAATTAAAGGTAGTTAGTTGTTAGAAATATCAAACATGTGATTAACATAAAAAAATAAATATCTGGAATTATCTTTAGTTAAAACAAACGGTTTGACTACAACTACTGTAGTACTAAAACAGGGGAATGGTTTGTGACCAAAGAACATGAATCACTGAACACATGTTTGTGACCAATACAAACAGACACATTTTGTACCTCTTGAGAAGAATAAACTAACAACTTCTTTCCTTATTGGAAGAAATAATATTGTTAGATATTCTTGAATAGACAAATTGTTAACAATATATAAATTATTAAATGATTAATTCCTTGAACACAAACAGAACCCACTATGAAATTCAACCTTTAATAAGTTGGGAAATAAAGCTTTGTTAACTCTATGGCTGCTGGAGAGGAGAAAACAGGACCTCAGACACAGTAATTGTTAAAGATAGTAGTTACAGTTCGGGCATTATCATATACGTAGTACAGAAAATTTCCATTTGTATGATGTTTATGGCGCTAGAATGTAACTCATACATAGGAAACCAATGACAGAGGTTTTCCCTAAGACTTTTTAACCTCTTTCAAGCATTTTCCTGGTCCATGAAGGACGACTGGAAATGAGCACACACACACGCATTTTCTTCCATTGTTAGTTTAATTAATTTACAACATTGTCAAAAGATATACAGGGGGCCCCCCAGATTCGTGGGAATTAGGTTCTCAAAATGGCCACGAATCACCAAATCCGCGAATAACATTTGTGGACGGGGTGGGGGGGGGTTGTTTGTTACATATTTATATGTGTAACAAAGGAATGTATAATCCCTTTATGTGTTTGCCCTAGTACGTCCTTCCCCAAAATCACTTCATGCACAACATTGCTTCCTGAATGTCCTAACCCTTCATTTCCAACACAAACATCCATCATCTCATCCCTCTACCTCTTTCTTGGTCTTCCTCTCTCTTTCCTACCATTCACCTTTGATTTATACACACGCTTTACCAACCTTTTACTTCCACTGTCACACTATGTCCATTAACAAGACCATCGTGAGATACCAGTCATGGTACAAGCAGACAATTATGATACAAGATTCTAGTCATGATGCAAGGTATCAGTCATGATACAGTACAGTACAGTACCAGATATGAGTCAAGGTAGCAGACAGCAACAATAGTATAAGAGCATTAGTTATACTGTTAAAGCCTTGAAATAAATAAGAAATTTTTTTATTTTCAGGGACCCCAGAAAATCATATGCAAGTCCCCCGTGCAAAGTTCACCAGATTCCACCCCAAGGCATTTTCAGAATTCAAGATGGCTACTATGTATTAAATTTTAATGGGAAAACACCCAAACCATCATAACTGCTGAACTACAGTCCTTAGAACAATGACTTTGGTGATCAGTTACATGTTTTTTATTTTATTTTTTACGGGAATTTGCCCACCCGGGCACAGGTCAACGACCCACAACAGGGCCTGGGGGGCGAAACAATAAGAACAAAGAAATTGAATATAGAGAAGAAAAAGGTTACCCGGTATACAGTACAGTGTTAATCTACACCATGAAGATGCCAGAAAACCAGCTTTTTAAAGTGAGACAGATTGTATAAGTATGGAAACACAGAAGAAGGCAGATCATTCCACAGTTTGGCTGTGTGAGGAAAGAAGGAGGCACTATAACGGGTTATTCTCTTGTGACCGATATCCACAGAGAAACGGTGGGCACCGCGGGCAAGACGAGTGTTATGAGCCCACGGCCTTGCCGGCGGTACACAGGATGCCAAATCCACCGAACATTGCCCGTTAAAGTACCTGTAAAAGAGTGTGTGCTCATTACAATGGAACCATAAACATTTTGTTGTGAGCTGCATTTATTACCAGAAATCCAAAATGGCTGCCAAAAAGGCCACTAATTGGTTCTGAAAACATTTACAGTGAAAAAAAAAATTGCATGAAATTGTCTGAGCATGGAAAAAAGTGGCAGTGTAGATGTAGTTGTTTGTGTGAATTTAATTATATAAGTGGTGGCTCTCAGAGGTACACTGCTGAAATAATCTGCACAGGGGGTCCTCATTATTTTTTACAAATGCTTCACATTATTCATATGCCATACTTGGTTATACAGATACTACAACCTCAATTTAGTGGACTAATAGGAAAGAAGGAATGTCCAATTATGCCGAGTCCATAAAATCCGGACATTTACTCCACTCTTTACGTATGATACATTAATGTAGACAATGTCATATAATCACCACACAGTACAGTATTTGATAAAAACTTATATAATGAACATCATCAAAGAGTACAGGAGTCCCTGGATATTTGTGAGTTTTGTATTTGCATCTTTGTGGGAGGCTATAAAATATTTAATATTAATGGTGCACGGTAATTTGAAAATTCTGCTGGCAGATGATGTGCCCGTTCATGCTGCTATCTACTGAGGGCACGGGAACTATGTTTTCATCAGAATATTGACTGTCTTTGTTTGACATTTGTTTATTAAACCTTTAAAAACTTGTTCATGAAAAATACTGTAACGTAAATACTGGTAGGACTGTACCAGTACTTCTACTTCTTACTGTACCGGTACTCTACAGTACATATTCAATATGACTAGAATGTGTTTTATTTATTGCTGTACAATATTTATATGATTAGTAAGTATTTCTGTGCTTTCAATTTCAAATTAACCACCAAATGTAAAGTTGACCATAATTGGAATTGAACCAATCCCTTATTACATTGATTTATACAGGACAAAACGTTTCTTTAATAGTATAATCGTTACATGTATGGACTTTTAGCAATGGGTCCAACATGAATAATGAGGACCCACTGTACAGTAATACTGACAGCACCAAACAGGTATAAAGATAAATATGTAAAAATTGAAGAGATGTTGTTCTTGGAAATATTAATTTTGCAATTCATACGACATGGAGGATTTTCCATACTAAGTAAATGCCTTCACAAAAAAAGAAGAAAAACCACAAGATAATATCAGAAACATTTTATAATAAGAACTTTAAGTTACTGTTATAGGAAGGTTAATGTTCACCCTAAGTGGATGAATTTAAACTAATGTATTACTTCCATGACATTCACTAGAATAATGTCTTTTACTAATATAAAGCCAAGAGAAAAATAGAGATCTTGCCTGAATAACCGCCAGGTTCAGCCACCATAAAGCTGTGCCGATTTACAATCAAGTACTGCAAGCAAGCTACCCAAACCAAACATGTCTTACACCTTATGAGAGCTGTTGATAGATGAAAGCTGAGAACCTGCAGTGTACACACCCCCCTTTTGAGGGGTGAGGCCATACAGTACCGTTGATGATATAACAATGGTTGCTCCGACAACAAACTGTGTGGATGGGGCAGCGTCTCCCAAGACCAGCCACGACACTAGAGTAGACATCACAATGGACAGCGAAGTGGCAAACCCCTTCAGAATGTTATCGGCGTACTTCATTGCCACTGACACTACCAGTCCACCAAATGCCTGAAATAATTTTCCATGTTAGATAAACATTCAAAGAATAGATTTAGTTAAGGTTACTTCAGTAGAATTAAAAGACTCAATATACAAATATTACCCAAGACAGGTCTGGTACAGTGTATTATACAAGGAACACCTATCCTCTACCATCTTCAAATAAGTTTATCTTGCTCTTCATTTATCATGATCCTTTTAGGTGAAAAACTGCATTTTCTGAATTTTAAATCCTATATATGTAAAATTATTGACTCTGGTGGTTATAATTTTTTTTAATGCTATTTGATAAAACACTTTTCAGTACATGAAATAAAATATGCCATGCCTAGCCAATGTGTGCCCCTCCCCCATCAAATTCCTTAGCGCCACTGATGATCATTACAATTCATTCTGAATGTTCTTTTTGTTAACTCACTTGTATAAGAACTACCATCCAAGTGGCAACGGAGTAACCCTGGAAGAACCCCCCGTCCTTAATAGCTGTACTATCACTGCTCACTGCTATCACAGCAAATGCAATAGAAAACATTCCTGAAAGGAGAATGTCAGTGTGAACAGTTTGAATTCCTTGTAGTTATATCATATTTTTTCTTTCTGCAGTGTACTACTGTACCTGAAAAATATTTTCAGCTCTATAATCAAGCTGATAAAAACTGCAAAAAATACTGATCCTGGTTATGTGATTGGAGGAATTCTTATGTTACAATTAGTAGCCGATTACAAACTGCCAAATAGAATTAGACAAAAAATTTTAAGCCTGTCAACTCAGTGGTACCATAGGCTTTTATGTATGAGATTCCCATACCCTGGGGCAGTAGCATCAGTTTTTGCTATATTCTGATGAAAAAAAAAAAAAACACCATACAACCCCAATTTTTTTCTCTTAGAACAGTCACCTTGGGTCCTTCAGGTGAGGAAAAGGCTCATACCTTTGCCCTGTGTGGTGAAAAACTCCTCTGAATGAAATCCAGGACTAGGCACAGCAACACCTAAGACTGAAGCACACAATTTTTTTTTGCTAATTCTGTTTTCCCTTGGTAATTGTCTCCTGGGAGACCCAGAAATATTTCTGACTTGAAAGAAGAGAAATGATGAAGAATATGACAACGTTTGCAGAAGAAAAGAAGAAAGCCTTCCACAATCTTCAAGATGTGTCAGAACAAACACTGATTACAGGAGGAACTGAACATGTCATCTCATCATGCTGCCAAAAATTCAAGAATTTTCAAGCATTAGTGTGGCCCGGGAACTCACTGGACCTTAACCTGATAGAGAAGGCATGGAATCAGGTGAAACACATGCTGTCAACAGAAACATAGCATCAATACCTCACCAGCAGAAGATTAAGCAGATATGGAAAATGAAGATCGGTTGTGATCATGACAAACACTTGCTGAATCCATGCCAAATCAACTTCAACTGGTGTACCTGTACAGTACAGTTTATGATTTGAGGCGGGTTAAATATAATGAAGAGCAGGAGATACTGTACTAGATAGGGTGAAGTGGAGGTTGGTTGAATGTATAAGGGGGAATAAGCGTAAAAATTATATACACAAGAAATATCTCCGTTAGCTGGAATTCCTCTTTGGCAGAATCCCTCTTAGCCTGAATTCTCCAATAGCCGGAATTGAAATTTGTTCAGAATTTTTTCAGGAAAATTTCTTTCAATTCCAGGGTTAGGAAAGATTTTCCGAGGTTGAAAATCAGGTGCAATTCTGAAAAAATAAATTTTTTTTGTAAACCCTCCAATTTTTTCTCGGGTCTGGGAACAAATTCCGAGAATGAAAATCAGGCATATTCTCTGAAAATTCCAAGAAAAATTCTGAAAACTCTCCAATTTTTTCCCCCAGGTCTGGGAGCAAATTCCGAGAATGAAATTACAGTACTGTATATGGAACTCTGTAAACTCTATCCAAATATTTTTCCCGGGTGTAAAAGCAAATTACTGTACAAGGATGAAATACTGTAACGCACAATTTCTGGAAAATTCTGAGAAACTTTTCCCAGTACAGTACTTGGACAAATTCCGGGGATGGGGGATTTTTTCCAAGTTTGAGAGAGTCGTGTTATTACCCAGAAATCTCTCAGTCCTGGAAGTGCTCTGCAACAATTGTTCTGGCTAATGGGATATCACTGTATACAGTACCTGTAAATATACGCGTCATAATGATGTCAATAAGAAAAATTATATACAGTATGTGACAAGGTTTACTATTAAGATACAGCTACAGTACCACGAAGAAAGTATAGGAACTCAGTACAGTACATCAGCTCACAAAATGACAGAAGAGAATTATGAAAAATCCCCTGTAGAATATGTCATATACCTATTTTAGTATGCTGGCATCCACACACACACTGACAACAAAGCTGTTCTTACCCAGCTGAATATTTCTGATGATCAATGATGTTTGTGTACCTCTCTTAACGAGTCGTTCAAAGTACACGCCCGAGAATCCGCTAGAAATACACGATACAAAAACTGCTAAAATTCCTAAAAGTCTCGATACTTCTGTGTTGGGGTGTTCATTGCGTATGTCAGGCGGTGGAAAACCTGCACCTTCCTCTGTGCCTCCGAGTATCACTGAATCACCACCCTCAAGCACCTCCACCTCTGGGGCAACTGGCAGAACCTTACTGTTGCTGCCATTACCATTACTGCTCCCCTCCACCTGAAAAACAAAGAGAGAGAGAGAGAGAGAGATAATTAATGATATCTAAAAATGGTATTTACTGTACTATATAAAGCTATATTGTATGAAGATGTATATATATATATATATATATATATATATATATATATATATATATATATATATATATATATATATATATATATATATATATATATATATATATATATATATATATATATATATTATTTTTTATTTAATGCCACGTGGGTTAATATAGTGATTTTGGGGCATTTTGGGCGTGAAAATTACACTTGAATGACTCCTGGAAAGTAACCCTAGTGACACCTTATGCTAAAATGTCTTCAATATACTGTACTGTACAATTGTTCATTTAACAATTGCATTTTCTTCAGGAATGTAACTTAATCATATATTGAAGGATACTTGTACAGTGTACTGAGGTGTGTGAGAGTTAATCACTAGCAAAAAACAAAGACAAAGGGAACACCATACTACAATTAAATAGAAAAATGGGATACAGTTTGTACAGATAATGTGAATCATAAAGGGATAAAGTGGAGTGAGAGAGAGCGAGGGAAGACATGGTGTTAAGTTATTCATTCTTCATTCCACCTTATGCAAAGACTTACCACACTACAGTACTCAGCCGGCATACTGTACACACGTATGATGGCAACACTATAAGTTAACCGTGACAACATAATACATAACTAGTGTAAATACCTGTACAAGAGAGACCCCCAACATGAGCAGACAGAGGGCTAGCCAGTGGATGGGTGTAAGACGCTTGCCGAGCATTACCCATGAGAAAATAGCTGTCGTCAGGATCTTTAACTGGTACGTGACCTGTACATCAGACCAAAATTGTAGTGAATATTTTTACCACTGAGAAACTATCACATTTTCAGTATACAATATAAATAAAAACACACAAAAAAAGTTCAGTAAAGTAATATAACTATGAAGAACCAACTAACCTGATATGTGGCAGCATCCAGGTTGGAGAGTGCAATAAAAAGCAAGTTGTTTTGGACGACATATAAAAAAGCTGGAATGGCCAGTTTCAATGTCTCCCAAATATTGATAAATACGTCTTCATAAAGCCGATTCAAAGTTGCTTTCATTACCTTACCTGTAAAAAAAAAAAATTATATGATAGATGTTCGTACAGTACAGGTATTTCAAATCATTTCTAAATATTACACAATGCCAATATTAAAAGAAAAGTAAAGGGAGGAAATTCAAATTGCATAAAAAACTAATGATTGGTTACCTGTCATCTACAACAACAAATACACACAAACTACCTCAATAACAGTGACATATTATAACAGTACAGTACATTATTATGTACAAGTTACATGTTACATGTACAGTATATGTGTATGCAACAGGAAAATATATTTCTAAGCTACTAAAATTCCCTTCCCAGACAAATGCTTAGCAAACTGAACAAAGGGCTATAATCTCCCAAACCCTGATGCAATGCTCTTCAATTTAGAAAATTCTTTACAAATAATGTAGTGAATTCATGGAATTCACTTCCACAAGAAGCTACTAATACAGAAATGGTGAATATCTCTAAAAACAGATTAGATGAAGTGTGGAAAGATCATTCTTTACAATATTGTGTGAAGTCTTGTAGAATGATGTCCCCTGAACATCTCCAAGATTACATCATGAACTAGTCCGTCAAGCCAAATCCAACATAATCCTGAACACCGTATAGGCCTACAGACCTCAATGGTGTAGACGACCATCAGAAGAGCCTACTCCTATTTTTGATGTTTTTATATATACAGGTACTGCAATTGCATGCATTTATCTACACACATTGCCCAGCAACATGGAAAATGATTTATCAAGAACAATGGAGGGATCCTACACAGGGCACTGGCCTCCTTCCCTCGGCATGGCCACCTCTAGTGATCAACAGAGTACTGGAGAAAGAAAAAGCAAAGCAGAGTCAAGTCTTGTCACACTCCCATGTCTTAAAACAACCTGTGACCTCTAATCTCTCATTTGTATGGAAGTGACTGAGTAGTGAATTACCACTACACACTAGGGGCTTAATGGGAAACCCCCCAAAACCCTGGTGTATATAGTCATGACTCGCTTTGAATTAGAGTCGTTATAAAAGAAACAAACAGCATTATCAAGACCAAGCAAATGACACTACAGTTTTATGAATATATTTTTGCCAAATAGAAATAACTTACCAGACTCTATGTGTAAAAATCCCAGGGAAAGTCCCAGCTTAAGAACCTCAGATGAGAAGACAGCAGTGGTGATGATGTATGGCTGATGGGCAAAATTAATTGACGTGCGGCTGTAACGAAGAAGCAGGACCATCGTTGAAGTTTGCACAGACAGCACCACCAGACTGAGGGTTTTGTAGGACAGGAGATGTGTCTTGAGCCATCCTCTGTTAGCAAAAGCATGGTGACCAGCAACACCCGAGGAGGTCAACCTCTCATCCACCTCACCCATCACACCTCACCTGTATAAAGTTACTCATTGTACATAAGAAGAATAAGAAGAATTAATGCAAAAGATTCATTTCTCACTGCCCAAGACATCAAAGACATCTTTGTTTATGTCTTTTCAACCAATAGTTCCATAACCATAGGCTCAGGTACACTCTGGTATCCTAATTACAGTACTGTACAGTGTATTTGAAAGTTACTCTTTTGAGAGGTGAGTACAACAGTCAATACCATGGAAATAAATTTTTGAGAAATACTGTATTTCTTTTGTAATTTATATTATAATAAATAGACATACAGTACTATACTGTAAATCTATTGAATCACAATTGCCGAGTAATTTTGACATGTCCTGGTACTGTATACAGGAAACCATTGGTATAACGGACACTGCATATAATGGAACCTGGTAATAACGGACCCCATGCATGAATACTAACTGGAAATACTGTAACATTGTACCAGGTACGTAATAAAAACAAACAGTAAATTACTTTTAATGTTTACAAAGATCGGATTCAACATTTATTAGTTAAGAGTGGACGAAAACACTTGGCGCTACGGGAGAGTTTTTGACGATAATTTTTATTTTTATTTTTTTTTTTTTTGCCTACAAAGCACATAGACATGAAATTACTGCCATATGATCAGTTTTGCATTGTATTTTACCCCATAATTTCCCTCACCTTTCATGCCCTGCCCACTACAGGTGATTTACAGTATGATCATAGATAGATAAACGGAAATCTTGGTAAATTTTTACAAGCTGCCCATAATGGTTTTGGACATGACACTTATGCTTTTTCAATGGTTTTTGATGTGTTTTCAACGATTCTGATCTTCATTTCTATCGCAAATGACTTGTTTTAGAGTTTGACAATCTTGGGGGACCTGTGGGAAATTGGGGTTTTTGGGTGAGGGGAGAGCAAACACGCATGATATGCTATATAAATGACCAAAGTTGGCTCATTTTTTCCGTTTTTAACAAGTAGTGAAAAGCCCAAATTTGAAAATCCAAGCCAAGTTTTTGCAAAAGATTATTATCAAATTCGAATGACTCACACCAAAACCCATCGGAAAAACCTATGTTTCATCTCAAAATAATTTTCTGTGCTTACCTAACCTGACCTGACCTGACCTAACAGTCATTGTTCAGAGTATATACATTACCTAGCCATGGGGGTTAGTGGGAGGCTCCACCCCCAGGGCCCCCAACAGAGCTTATAATTGAAGCAAACAGCCTAACCAACTATCCTAACCAAACCAAACTAACCTACCCTAACCTAACCAAATTTTACCTAATTGAGTGTGAGCAGGTCGGGACTCCCAAACAAATTAAGGGGATTTTCTCGAAAATGAATCATTCGCGACAAAAACGCTACTAAGAAAAGTTGTTAGAAATGATGAGATATACCTAGAACTGGGCCCAAAAATATTGTGGGAAATTATGGGCAAGTTGTAAAAAAAAAACCGTACTCCCCTATTACCTGCTTTACAGTATCTATCTATTGACAACACAGCCTTAGTCCTTGGCACCTATAGGGCTGCTACACCTGCCCTACACACCTACAGGGCTGCTACACCTGCACTACACACCTACAGGGCTGCTACACCTGCCCTACACACCTACAGGGCTGCTACACCTGCACTACACACCTACAGGGCTGCTACACCTGCACTACACACCTACAGGGCTGCTACACCTACCCTACACACCTACAGGGCTACTACACCTGCACTACACACCTACAGGGCTGCTACACCTGCCCTACACACCTACAGGGCTGCTACACCTACCCTACACACCTACAGGGCTACTACACCTGCACTACACACCTACAGGGCTGCTACACCTGCCCTACACACCTACTGTAACAAAATATCCACGTTGTTATAATTAACTTCATATTACATAAAAGCCCCGATTCCCTTTTATTTTAGGAGACAGCTGTATAAAACCTTACTAGCAAATGACTAATGGGTAGTTTAACTCACCATACACTTATACTACACTTATACATCATAAATAAGTTATTAAATTACTGAAGACTGACCTTATGGACGAGAATACATGAGACGGCCCCTACAACACCCTGGACTGAACTGAGAAAACTAAATAACCTAAACCACAATAAATAACCTTATATATCATGTTTTATGGATACATCTATGGATTAATTTAATAATTTTGAGTCTAAACATTATTATTTTTCTCTAAACTATTTAGGTAAAGTGAGTTATTTAACATATTAGGTGGAATTGTTATTTGGTTTATGTATTACTTTTAAACCTTTATGATCCCAGAATAGAAATATAAGAATTGATATGATGTTATAATATGTTATATACACAACTAAGATATTTGTTGTAGAGACACGATACTGTACTTAATGTTAAATGTTTTTACTTGTTGGTTTAAAGAGTTTTTGTCTTTCAGTACGACTCTTCCACCCCCCAGAGAGACCCCCAGGGAGACCAGACCCCCACCAGGAGAGACCCCCAGGGAGACCAGACCCCCACCAGGAGAGACCCCCAGGGAGACCCGACCCCAACCAGGAGAGACCCCCAGTGAGAACCCCAGTGAGAACCCAGACAAGGGAACTAACATTATTAAGCAATGGGACTTCATTATTTTTCTCTACTTAATAATACTTACAGTGATTATGACTGTAACTATTCACGAATAAAATATCTTCAAAAAGTCTTCTTGGAAAGGGAGACATTAGTTTCTTGTTAGTGACTTTTTTTTTAGTTTAGTAAATTTATTGACAAATCCTCGGGACCAAGAAATATAGAGGGAGGAACTACCCCGCATATCAGTGTAAATGCCTTGGAGTATGTCGCACAAATGTATATGGTGGAAATGTCACTTACTTTATTTTTATCTTCACCTTATTCTCTTCGTCACTGATCGGCTCGTAAGCCACTTGGGCGGTCAGTCAAGTCTCTGATACGCACTGTTGGCAGATAATGGGTATGCATTGGTTCCTGAATGTATCGGAACCTGCTCCAGTGTTGGTCAAGTCTGGCCTTGAATGAGCTCGCACTCGGTGCCATCACAACGCTCTCTGGCAGATTGTTTCAAGAGTTCACAATTCTCACTCCGAAAAAATTTACCCTCACAGTTTTCTGGACTTGTGGAAAATTCAACCTTGAGGTGTGACCCCTTGTGGGGAGGTAGTCCACCAGCTCCTGGTATGTACAGTCGGGATCAAAAGTTCGCTCCCTCCCAAAATGAAGCAGTGTCGACCTCAAATGAGATGAACCAGCACAACCGCAGCCGCAGGATTAGGTCGCCTCTCGTCAGTGGCGGCTCGTGCAGTCCTCCCCGACACTCACTGCCAGGCGTATGATTCCTTTAGAGAGACAGCTGAATAATACACTACCAACAAATATATCATTTTATATGTTATTTAATTATTTTCAATACGTTGCTAAGTGAATTTTCATTAAAATCAGACCAAAATTTAAGTTACTTTCATAGTTGCTGTCAATGCTGTACGATTGATGTCTGTTATTAATTGGCGCCGCCGCCGCCGCCGCACTTGAAGCAGCTCAGTCTCGTACAACGTGTGGACGGTGTGGTTAACTCGTGCTTTCTTTAATTACCCTTTGACGATGGAAAATCGAGTGAAATATTTGCAAAACATCAACTTTTCCCAGCTGACATTAAATGAAAAGACTGAAATCAAAGCAAGAGGAAGACCTACACCAGTTTTATCCATTCAACAGAACAGTACAAGCAGGAACAAAGAATATACACGCCAGTTTAACATCAGTGAATGACAGACTGTCTGCTTTAGCAGTGATATCCATTGAAAATAAAATGATAACAGAAATAAAGGATTTTAATGAAATAGTAATAAACAATTTTGCTACATCGAAGAGCAGACACGCCGACTTTATTTTCAATTAATACTGGTCCATCACCACCAACACTACTACCATGCCCTGGGAATTCGTGGACATCAACTACAACTCATACCTGAGGTAGGTCAAATTTGTGTATCCTACTGTTGTGTGAGGCTTGCAGTCCCTCCATTTTATTTTTCACGAGCCGCCACTGCCTCTCGTCCGTCTGTAGTATAAGCAGGGCCGAGGCAAGCCTTTAGATGTGCGCCCCCTTGAAAGTTTTGATAAGCTAGTGTAGGTACAGTAACCCATTACTACATTGTTTCTAACTCTCGAAACACCACTGATAACATAATTTTCATCTTGTGGCTTTATTACTTCATCCATGCAAATAACCAATTATTGTTAGTACATTAAGTCAATAAATCCTTGACGTAAATGTCAATGAAACAATTTTTAGTTATTTTTTTATTTTAGGGTAATCTTTAAAAAATAATAACATATCATAAGCATTTAGCTCGCTCCAGCCTCCTGCGAGTTATAACCTACTATTATTACATCATTATTATATACATGTAGTGCAAAATAAGATACTTGTGAGTTGTGACCAGTCATTGGTCGGACAATATATTAAATTGACATCTTAAGTATAAATAGAAAAAGCTTAATGGAGAGCTGTAACAGTTATGAATAAAAATAATTGCAACTCTGACCAAGCCACATTAAAAAATTATTTACATTAAAAACTTAATACAATCACCTGGCCAGTCTCAGTGGGATTATGTTATGCGAGGTCAAACTTCAGAGGTCAGGTAACCTTGCCTCATCCCGACAAAGGCAGGGAAGGGACGGCTCAGCCGCCCTGGCAGTAAGGGAGGGGAGGGTATGGTGGGGTTGGGAGAAGGGTTCCTCAGATGTCAGCCTTCAGGTCACTGCTCGACAGTTCTCCAGGCCGCGAAAGATAGGACCCGGGTTAGTCCCTCCGGGGGGTTAACGAATAATATTAAAAAAGAAAACACAGTCGACTACCCCTCTCGGGGGGTTAACGAATAATATTAAAAAAGAAAACACAGACTACCGTCTAACTACCCTCGCCTCCCTCCGACCCCCCCCCCCCTTCTAACATCCTGCTCCGACCCTCCACGGCTCCACCAGTGTCCACCACAGTTTTCCCTTCATTATTAATTTTTTCCAAGTTTGCCCTGAATTTGTGGCGCCCCCAGATGTTGGCGCCCTAGGCGATTGCCTAGTTCGCCTAGTGGGTAGCGCCGGCCCTGAGTATAAGCTAGGTAGATGCAAGCGCTCCAATCTCTCTGGGTAACTGAGGTTCTGTAGAGCAGGCACCAGTCTGGTGGCCCTCCTTTGGACATTTTCAATCAATTGACAGTCTCTAGCATACCTCAGGGACCAGACGGGGTTACAATACTCCAGACGAGGAAGAACCTCACTCTTGAAGATCGTGACGAGGGACGGACCATCCAGATATCTAAACGACCTTCTTATAAGACCCACTAGTTTCGTTGCCCGAGTCACCTTCTTCTTAGGGCCCGAGAACTTAGGTTCATTGTCGACATACACACCCAGGTCCTTTTCACATTGGGTCTCAATTAATGCAATCTCTTCGTCCTGTTGGGACATGTGATAAGCCTCCTTACTGTTGGTGCGACCCAGGTGCATCATTTTGCACTTCGTGACATTGAATCTTAACAGCCATATCCTCGACCATTCTTGAAGCTCATAGAGATCTTTCTGCATTGTCTGCAAATATTTGTAAGAAGGAGTGTATATCTTCCGGCATGTCATTAATGAAACAGACAAACCGCAACTGGCACAATGCTCTGCCCTGTGGTACCCCGCCGGTCACAGGTACATATGACGATTTCGTACCATTAATCACCAAACACTGTTTGCGATCATGCAGAAAGTCTCCAATCCACGCTAGGACACTTCCCAAAACCCGTACCCTTCCAGTTTAATTATCAGCCTTTCATGGGTACACAATCAAAAGCCTTGGCAAAATCTAAGTATATATTGTCGATATTTCCGCTTTGTTCTAGAATGTCAATCCAAACATCTAGTACCTTAAGTAATTGTGTTAAGCAGGATCTTCCGGCATAAAACCGTGTTGGCATTCCTTTACAAGGTTGTTTCGTAGCAGATGCTTCATCATGGAATCTCTTACGATGCTCTCTAGTACTTTGAACACTATGCTGGTCAGACTCACTGATCTATAATTATTCGTGGAGTGACGATCGCCCTTATTGAATAGAGGACTCACAAAAGCCATTTTCCATTCAACGGGGACCTTTTGCTCCTCCAGGCATTTGCAGAACAGGCTCTTAAAGAACTCCTCAAGCTGAAATTCTAGCCCCTGTGCTTGCTTGCCTCTTTCGCCTTTGCCTCATAACTCAAACTTTTCCTTCTTCTTGGAAGCATGCCTCGGTTCAGCTCATCCCGAAGAAGGGCGACCATTCCATTCCCTCTAACTATAGCCCCATTGCCGTAACTTCATCCCTCTCTAAGATTTTCGAAACTATTTTAAACTCATTTTCTCCGTCACTTTGAACGCTTTTCTCTTTTTCGGATCACCAGTATGGTTTTCGCCAGGTGAGATCTACAGGTAATCTGACCTCCTACTGCACCCATCTTTGGTCATTCTTTCTTACGGATTATGGGGAAACTTTCGTCGTTGCCTCGACATCTCCAAAGCATTTGACAGGGTATGGCACAAGTCTTTGCCTTCTAAACTTCCCTTTTATGGTTTCTCTCCCCAACTTTGTTCTCTAATTTCTAGCTTCCTTGAGAACCGATCCATGGCAGTTGATGTCGAGGGATCGATCTCTCGCTCTTTATCAATAGTGGTGTCCCACAGGGCTCTGTTCTTTCACCTACTCTCTTCCTTCTTTTTATCAATGATTTATTTCACATTGCGACTAATTTTATCCATTCTTACGCTGATGATTCTACTCTTCACTTTTCTTCACATTTTTCCCTTCCTCCTAATTCTCAAACTAGATCTGTTTCTAAGGCCGATATCATTTCATCTATCAATGCGGATCTGTGTAGCATCTCTGAATGGGGAGGTAGAAACTTGGTCAAATTCAATAGTAATAAAACACAGTATTTATCAATTACACTTTCCAAATTGGATGATCTCCCACCAATCACATTTCAGGACGTAATCTCTGCCAAATTCTGAAATAGATATGTTGGGCCTCACCATCTCCTTTAATATATCATAGAGGCCACACATCCACAACATTGCTAAAGGTGCCTCCCGAAAGCTGGAAATGCTGTACAGTTGTCGAAGTTACTTGACTCCTGAGCAGTTGCTTCCAAATTACAAGGCATTCGTTCGTCCTAACTTGGAGTACTGCTCTCATATCTGGGGTGGCTATTCTTCTGTCCAACTGTTATATAGGGTGGAATCAACGGCATTTCGTCTTATTGACTCTCCTCCTTTAGTTGATAATCTTTCTTCCCTTTCTCTTCGCTGCAATGTTGCTTCACTCTCTCTCTTTTATAGGTTCTTTAGCTGGCAATAATCTGTGGATTTGGCATCCTGTGTACCGCCGGCAAGGCCGTAGGCTTGTAATACTCGCCTACACCGCATTGCCCACCGTTTCTCTGAGGATGTCGGACACACTAGAATAGCCCGTTATAGTACATCCTTCTTTCCTCACGCAGCCAAACTGTGGAATGATCTGCCTTCTTCTGTGTTTTCATACTCATACAATCTGTCTCACTTCAAAAAGCTGGTTTTCCGGCATCTTTATCTTGTAGATTAATATAGTCTTTTTCTTTTCTATTTTTAATTTCTTTTACTCTTATTTTTTCGCTCCCTACGCCCCGTTGTGGGTCGATGACCTGTGCCCGGGTGGGCTATTTCCCGTAAAAAAAAGTACGTATATATATATATATATATATATATATATATATATATATATATATATATATATATATATATATATATATATATATATATACTGTATATAAAATACAGTTTTCTTAACACTCCGACTGAGTCTTCTGTTTGTTTGCATTTATAAGAAAACTGTGGTAAGTTTAAACTTCAACGTGTGAACTGAGAAGAAATGGCTCCAAAAACACCCATGGCTGTGTTAGGTGTCGAAAAGATAAGAGGAATTGCAATTTTGGGCAAAAATTATTTTGGTTTTTAAATTGATTCTGATATTCGTTTCTTGCGGAAATGACCTAACCTAACCTACTACTGCCACATACCTATCGGGAGGGGAGGGGGGGGGGCTGATTCCTAACTAATAATGGTACAAAATCCAAAATATCTATTGGGATAAAAACAAATACTATCCGTAATATGTAAGTGTGTTTGGAAATTAAGTTATATAATCACATTCAATGCTGGGTTAATATTCGTTTTAGCACATGACTGGAAAGGTGGAAATAAGCTAGTGTGTCGTATAAGAAGGGCGTTCACAGAGCTAATGGCCAGTCCCTCATAACATTTCTGAAAACGAAAATAAAAGAAAAAGAGGTACTTCCCGTTTGGAGCACTATATGGTCACTGAGATATGCCAGTGACTGTCAATAGATTAAAAATGTCCAAAGGAGGGCCAGTATCAAACTGGTGCCTGCACTACAACACCTCAGGTACACAGAGAGATTGAAATGCCTGCTGTTGCCTAGCTTATACTATAGGTGAGCAAGGGCTGACTTAATAGAAGTCTATAGAAATATATATATAAAGGAATAATAATTATAAAAACTCATCACAATTTTATGATTTATTAATATATGCAACGCTGAAAACTTTTGAATGCCAAGTAGGTTACAAAATTAATACGCAAATAACGTTAAACGATTTTACATATTAGTTTGCAGTGTGCCTTATAGACAGAATCATGCGATCGAGTTAGACTGAAGTAGACAACATACTTCGTGTACTTCACTCGATGAGTAACATTTGCTCTTTATAATACAGTGATTATTCCCATATAAGTTTATAATGAATTGGTTGATTAATAAGGTGTAATTTTACAGAAGAATACAATTATGAGTCATAACAACAGGTGAGTTAGCAACGGCAGAACACATTCTGAATGTTGGCAAAGGAAGGTTTTGGCAGACAGGGATGCGGTGACTTTGCGGTCGCGGACAGTAACAGCTTAGTGGTCACTCTTGCTGGTCACACCCACCACACTTCTAGCACACTGGTTCTTATATCAAGTGGTCCTCAAGTAACCCATTCCTCACATTGCCAGTAACATCATCAGTGATATAAGTAAGGAAGGATCATAACCTATCTCCAGCCTGGTGATGCAGTAGGATTATTACCGTGGATCTTCTCTCACGTTCGTCACCCCTGAGTTGTTCGCTATTCTGTAAAACACAAGACCAGTTGAAACATTTCGTCCTACTTGGGAAGATCAAAAAGAGTTAACGTTTTTTTATATTCCAACTTTAAGAAGATCAAGTAGCCATGCCACGAACCAAATATGAGTAAAAGACTAAAATCTAAAACTACAAATGACTGGCATCACTACCCACGTACCCGTGTTAAATCTTGATGTTGTTGAAACAGACGTATTATGTAGTTTTATTGGGGCATTGGATGAACCTCAGTTACTTCTGAAAATGAAAAAAAAAATACAAGGCGGCTGTCAATACGTGATGTCGACTTCTGTTAAAGAGACTTGCAGTCGTCCACTGGTCAGTGGTGACTGGCAGCTAGCTAGGCTAGGCCAGAGTCTTGAACGTTGATGTGCGAGGCTTGCTTTATGACATTTGTGGGCCGTATGGTTTAATACAGATATTATATGTTGAATATCGTAAACTATTGCCAGTGAAGTGATCAATAGTCATAAAGAAATAATAAGAATAAAACACTAACACTTCATATATATATATATATGTATATATATATATATATATATATATATATATATATATATATATATATATATATATATATATATATATATATATATATATATATATATATATATATATATATATATATATATATATTGTACTATCGTGGACAAAAGTTCGCTCCTTCCCAAACTGAAGCAGTATCGACCCGCACAATACCCGCACCAGATAACACTCAGAGTGAGTCAGTTCGGGGACCTATTCCTGTGTCTCAAGTTTCACTAAAGGGAGCGAACTTTTGTTCACGATAGTACGGCATGTCCGCAAACAAGTTTGTTTTTTCTTTGTGACCAAACAATTACGGTTGATGTTTACTGTATAACTTGTATTTACATATTTAAGTGAAGATCATTAAATAAATCTCAACTACTCATATACTTGTAGTAAATATCTCATATGATAAATGCTTAATCGACACATTTCAAGGGACTACGACCGGACTAAGAAATGAATAGGCGAGCAGTTAAGGTTAGATAGGAAGTGTGTGGGTATCAAACCTTTGGTTCATTTTTTTTAATAGTTTTGTATGCTGAATAACATTCTCAGTGAATTCTGTGAGTGTCCTTGAATTTCTTAATCTTCATCAAGAGGGAAACGAATGTATCCTGTGTACATAAAGTGGAAATAAATGAAATCATTAGGTGGTATATTACAAAGAACCGATGATTTGGTTAAAAGTTGACCAATATAGATATCGGCAACTCATCACTCAAGATGCTTGTAGTTTCCATGTAAATATCTCATATGATATATCATTAACGTAAATTTATTTACCTGTTACTGGTGCAGTTTGTAGAGGGTAACATCCAACGCATCCGACACATTCTCCATTCTGGCCAACATAATTTCCTATGACACACTGGGTGGAGTGTTGGTGGTTACAAGTTAGCAGATTCTGGTCCCACAGTTCCAGGGGCACAGGGCATCTCTTGGGGTCCGTATG